GTTTATATAAGGGCCGCGCTATCTTACTAAAATCTTTTAAATAACATCTATAATAGGTCAATAATCCGATAAAGCTACGGACTCCTTTAACTGTAGTGGGACGTGGATAAGCCACCATTGCCTTTACTTTGGACAAATCTCTGCGGATACCAGACTCACTTACTATATGTCCCAAGAATTTAAGTTCTTTCAAACATAAATGACACTTTTTAGGACCTAATTTTAGATTATGCACCCGAAATGCCTTGAATACCCCTCTTAAATTTGAGATCAAATCATCAACACTTTTGCCAAGAACAATTACATCATCTAAATATACTAAAACCTTATCCAATAAAAAATCACTCAATACTCTTTCCATTAACCTTTGAAAAATACTAGGTGCTCCTTGCAATCCAAAAGGCATTCTTACAAATTGAAATTGACAACCTTTTTTATGACCCATGGGTATGACAAATGCTGTCTTTGCAGAATCTTTCGAAGATAACCCTAGTTGCCAGTAACCCGAACGACAATCAAGCGATGCAAAGAAACAATAATTTTTTAAGCATTGAAGTAAATCATCCACGCGCGGAATCGGATAAGACAATTTAGCGCTAATTTGATTGAGTTTTCGATAGTCAATGGCAAACCTTACTTCATTGGAATCCTTCTTTCCAACCAATACTATAGGACTAGACCATGCAGACAAACTAGGAATTATTACATTCAATTTCAACATTCTATCTATTTCATCAAAAGCTAATTTCCTTTTTTGTAAGGGTAGCCGCCTAGGAGGTAACCGGACAGGTACATGTTCACCTGTATCAATGATATCATGAGTACTTGGTATATAACCCAAATCTGAATTTGACCTTGAAAAGATATCACCAAATTCCTGTACCAATTTTTCTAATTTATCATATTCACAAGAAGTTAATTTTTCTTTCACTTCAGATAACATTGGTTCTACATGAGCATACAATTCTACTTTAGATATTCCACCTTCTAAATCACCTAATTCACCTCCCTGTTTAGTCCCTTGATCTGGACCTCCATATACTGAGTCATATAAATCAACATCATCACACATATGATCTGAATTCAAAGTATCTCTTATAGTCATCATATCTTCATGAGTATATTCATCTCCTTTATCACAGGTCAATAAATCCCTCACCCCGGGGTTAGCTACTCCCACTGGGTTTATATTATGATCGACTGATACTCCCTCCTCTATCTCATCACTAATATCCTTAAATTCACTTCGTATATCACCACCTAGGTTAACCTCTCTTTCACTTTTATCAAAATTATTACCTTTGTTCACCACTTCTCCTATCATTATTTCACTCACATTATCACTAACTGATGCTGGTTTCTCATGTTTCCCAACATATTTTCTCTGAAATTGTTCTCCCTTTGGAGTACTAACAAACTCCCTACATTCTCTTACCACATTATTTATATGACTCATTTCATTATTCATTTCACATTTCTTAACTGTTTGCTCATGCATTCCCATGTCAACCACTAACTCACTTCTTGTTTGACAATCATCCACCTGACCTACTTTAGCCTGTTGTGTCTGTACTAAAGAAGACTCTCTAGACTTAAAATTTCTTACTGAATGATTTCTTACATTCCTGTGTTGTGTCTCTACTAACGAAGACCTATTTGACCTTAAATGTTTTAATGAATGACCTTTTACAGTCTTGGATATACCTACTGGAACTTCATCACCCTTAATCAATTTAGCTGATCCTATAACTGTTCCCTTTGGTAATTTAATCTTCTCCCCTAAATTAGTGATAGTAATCTCAAACTTATTTTGATTTTCCTTCTTAAATAGAACTGCGTGATCTACTAACATATCTGCAGTGTGAGAATTCTCTTGGTGTTTAATAATTAATTTACCTACACCTGTTTTAAGGGACGTTATATAAACTGGTACCTTAATTTCACCCCAACCTGTGAGAACCATGTCTTTCAACATGCATACATCTCCACTACGCTGTTCAGGTATACATGGCACTTCATTTTCATTAATTGTTAATGTACCTTTATGTATATCTAACTTAGCTTTATTTTGAAACAGAAAATCTATACCCAGAATACCCTCATTTTGACAATCAGCTACAATAAATTTTTGTGAAATCATAAGAGATGGCTTTATTACTACCTTGGTTTTCAAATTTCCTAAGGGTTTCAAAATAGAACCATCTGCCATGTACAAAACTTCAGTTGAAGGTAAAATCTGTTCTGTCACCTCAGCAGGCAATAACTGAAATGTATTTTCTGATAATAAAGATCTCCCTGCCCCTGTGTCAATTAAAAACTGAACAGTATTTTTACCAATATCTGCTTCTAAACATAACCCTTTTGGCTGATCCGTTTGAACATTTGAAATTGAATCAATTTGTTTTCCCTTATTATCAGATACGGGTCTTACATAATTGAACTTAACTGATTGCGGACCCTTACAACCAGTTTTATTTAGTTTAAAGAATTCTTCTCTAATACCCGATCACACCTAATAGCCACGTGACCAATTTGATTACAACGGAAACACCTTCTATCTGTGCCATCAGTGAATGATACAGGACCCTTTGGTCTAGCCCCTTGATTACCTGTATGATCAGAATTTGTTCTATTCCTATTAAACCATTCGCGACCATTATTACCTGGAACTGGTCTATTAGAACCTCTATTGTAACCTCTATTGTCATAAGATCTTGAAAGGAAAGGACGTTGATTTTCCATTTTAGCCTGTTCAATACTATTAAATTTAGATTCCATAGCATCTAATTTAAACAAAACTCTTTGCATGCAATCGACAAAATGATCGGATTTTTTTTCTTTTACTTCATTATTCACTGCCAGTTGTCTTACAGGTACTTTTTCTGCATCTGCCTGCATAATTGCGGCATAACTTAATGCTTTTTCACAGGCATCATCAACAGATTTTGGATTCTGTTTTCTCACATCGATGCGCATTTGTTTATCTGTAAGACCATCAATAAAATTTTCTGTAGCAATTACATCTCTAGCTGAATGAGGTAAAGTTTTCCAAGCTTGTGACACTAAATTCTTTATTTCAGCTGCATATGCAGAAAGACACTCATCCTTTTTTAATTTTCTAGTTTTCAATTGACATCTAAACACTCCACTTTGCATTGGATTGAAACGAGTCCTCAAGCTACTTATTAAAGTATCTAATGATTGACGTTCCTCAGGTGACAGATTAGCCATGCAACTTAATGCTTTAGATCTCAAACAACATGATAATTCTAATAACTTTGTATCTTCATCCCAATTATTAGATTTAGAAACTGTTTCAAAATGTATAAGCCAATGTTCAAAATTTTGTGTCCCGTCAAAACTCGATAATTTTTGCGGTTTTTTGAACACAGATTTGTTCTTTCCTGGCGAAGACACAATTTCCTCCGCCGTTTGATCAAGATCAAAAGAGAGTGATTTAGGCTCTGGTGTTTTATTCTTATCTGTATCAATTTGAGTTATCAATCTTTTAGTTGACATTGGTCTCAATAATGAAGTTCCTCGGGATTCAGATTTCCTTTTCTCTTTTGAACTAACAATACCACTTTCATCATCATCATCATTTGAGTCATTAATTGCAAAACTTAAAGAAGGACCATAACCTGTTCTACGACGCAATTCCTTATTCTTTTGTCTAAGATCAAAATTCTGTTCCTTAACTTCTGAACTTTCCATTAACATTATTTTCTCTTTGTTTGATAAATCATAATTTCTTTCTTCTAAATCCTTAGCTATATCAACTTGACTCCTTAATCGCGACTCTAATTCCTCTAACCTATTTTGCATATCTCTAATTGACCCTTTATGTTGTAATTGTAAATCCCGTATTAATTCTTTTTGCTCATTACACTCTTCACGTAAATAATTTAATTCGCTATACTGTGAATCTTTATTTAGATACTCCCCCGGAGTCATTTCCGGAGCTGAAGGTGCTGTATCACCCTCCCCATCACTCATATTTCCCTCTGCCATATCTTTTAAACTTTGAGAAAGTTTTGCCATTTTTGGATCCATTGCAAAGTTATTTTAGATTACTACCGCGTACTTATCAAAGAATGCGACCTTCCCACTCTCACTTAACAAAATATTTTGCAAACTACTTGAAATCAAATCCCTTAATTTAATCAAATGCCAATTAACAAATCTTTACTTACTAGTATTTCTGTTTTAGATTCATAAAATAATTTAAGACAATAATTGAATTAATTTTGATAAATTAACCAAACCCTTACAAATATATCAAAAACTTGAAGTAATTAATTTATTAATAGTATTAATCTAATATGCCATTCAATTGAATTTCTAAAAACGAAAATTTTCCTTTTCAGATTACAAAAAATTATACTCACAAAGACTGCAGTGGACCCTAACGATGTTCCTTTATAACCTCCTTCGCTTCGCAACGGCACCAGTGTTACTGTCGTTGTCCCTTGGGTAACAGGCGTGGTTACAGGAATATAAAGTGTTACACGACAAATCTAGTTGGTTATAATGATTTTATTCTATAATACAAAGATCAGCACATCAGACAGCAATCCTACGGGCATACAGCATACAGCATACAGCATACAGCAATCAACCAGACAACCCAACACGGACACACCCAAACTCTTTTATACTATCCAATCACACTACCATATATAACTACTCTCCAAAATATAGTTCCTGCCAAATGAGCATCTTCTTTGTTCTTGCCAAGATATTTCCTGGAACTTATCTCAAGGACTTCTGGAAATACAGGACTACTTTTGGCATAAGGTATGAACCTTCTTTGTTCCAAACATCTTGTCCTTAAAATAAGTTCCAGATAAGTTCCAAAAATACTGGCAGGATCCAATTAACCAATATCAACAACATATGTATCACTCAAATGAAAGTATAAATGTAAAAACAACTCAAACTGTATGTAATAAAATATCATATAAAATTCCTAACAAAAAGGTATTTTGTCTGTCTGTAACACTGTCTTTGACGTATATGACTCCAAACTCTGCGTACGCTGGCTCTGGCATAGAGCGTTCGGAGTACATTGCGTCCAGGCGTCCCATTCGGAATACCGGCAACTGGGATCTGATCAAATCAAACATCAACAAGGGACAATATTTGAAATAACGACGATTTAAAGTTAGAGATTATCACTGCTACCCACCTAATTACACAGACGTATCGTCGGTGTATCATGGCGGAACTTCCTCCGGGACTAGGTTTCGGTAAGATTTTTTTATTTCCCGATTTACACCTACTTATAAGTCACGTTGTGGATAATAATTTGGCTCGAAGTTAAGGAAGATAGTCTAGTTTGAGAATGTGTCGATGGTTTTAGGTTTTATATGTTAACAAAGACACAATTCACGTATTTAGTCCCTCGCTTTTCTTACACTGACGATCGGCATTAATATTGCCAATATTACACTGATATTGGTCGTTCGTCAGTGTAAGAAAAGCGAGGGACTAAATACGTGAATTGTGTCTTTGTTAACATATAAAACCTAAAACCATCGACACATTCTCAAACTCTTCCTTAACTTCGAGCCAAATTATTATCCACAACGTGACTTATAAGTAGGTGTAAATCGGGAAATAAAAAATCTTACCGAAACCTAGTCCCGGAGGAAGTTCCGCCATGATACACCGACGACGTCACGTGACGTTACCCATAAACTTAATGTTTCAGTGGGAACCCTTAACTCTAAGTGGTCTGGATTACTTTTTGGCATCAAAGGCGTTTCACCTACACGTGTTTTACTGTACAATATTATTCTAAAGGGAGACTTATGCTTTAATTACAACGGTGGTTCTACTGTATTAGGGCAGCTATTGTACAACGTCACCCGCCTGTATTATCAGTAATGTGCCTGTGATGTATGTGCCATATTGTGTAAATGTGTCTTAACACGATGATGGTAAAAACTGGAAGATACAAAGGCCTGCTTGACACCATTGTTGCGCCCCCCCCCCACACACACACACATTTTGCACACCTCACGTTTAAAAGGGAATGGAAATATAGAAAGGGGGAGTGGAGTGGATGAAGGTCCAGAGACCTGATGCAGGACTTCCGACTAGGTATAAAAACCAACTCACGTGCGGTTGCTCCAACTGCTAAAAGAACGACGAATGTCAACTGTAATGGAAACGTAGAAGTTATTTCAGGGTAAAGAAATTCTGAATTTTACTTGAAACTGACCAAGAAATAGAAAAAATCAACCTACCATCATGAAAAGGTGTCAGCATATGGCATTATACCCACAAAGTCCTTGTAATAAATCAAGAGAACATATACAGGCCTATATATTGCGCATTTGTTAAAGGGGTGATAGCTGAAATTCTCATTATAAATAAATATTTTTCATGATAATTTGTAGCTTGCAGTCCTTCGATAGACCTTTGTGTAGAAATTGTTTGGGAATAAAATAAAACGAGAGTCCCCTTGGGTTTTTCAAGCTTCGAGATTTCAGAAAAAACTGTGAATCAAAATCATATGTGTATATTATAGGATCAGAATTGAAGACAGTTTGTGTTATGGATTACTAGCTAATTTTGGTATTTTACACCATATGAAACAGCACAATCAATCTTTCCATATCACGATAACACAATAACACAACAGGAGGTACGGATTGCACTGGACTAAAGGCTTGGAGATTAACGATACCCCAATAACAAAAAATGAATGCAAATCGAGTCTGTATTCTATCTAATTTTAAATTTGAAAAAGGTTATGAACGCATGGTTTTGATGATTTATGCAGTATACACCCAATTGCCCATAACATATAATAACTGACGTTTTGGTAGGTGTATAAGAAATAATGATTCAGCTAATTATGGCCCCTTTCTTTGTGACCCCATTTAAGAGTTAAGAAAAAGGGAAAATTTATAAAAAATGAATGGGAATATGTAACATGTGAATCTCCTCACCACACACTACAATGGCAATGACGTTTTTAAGAAGTTCATATCAATTTTATATTCCCAGAAGCAGTTTTCAGGTTTTCCAGAACAGAACAAAACAAACAAGAACAAGCAAACAAGAGAAGGCTTCCATTCCAAAGCACAATGCAACATACTAGTGTATGTCGTGTACCCAGGGTTGCGTCCCGGGGTTGCGTAAAACTATATGAAGCCAACGTGGTAAGACATGTGCTGTATATGATGCCAACGTGGTGAAACATGTGATCATTTTAACACTTGAAATTTTACGCCGTTTAAACCGTGTGTAACAAACCATACAGAATTATCAAATTTCACGGTTTTTCAATATTTGGTATTTGTATACTTTATGTCTGAGGCTACTAACTTTTGGTTCCATTGGTTACCGTTTCCTCTTAGTTTCCTGGATAAATATATTTGGTCTTGGCTTGTAAGAAATATTTGTAGAGTAAGAAAACACTAAGGTTTGAAAACAATGACGAGCAAGAGTGCAAATTGAATAACTATGAACCTTGAATTTAGCTCATATAGTACATCTTAACTTCTAAAACAAATGTGCTAAACAAGGATTTAAAATAGAGGATTATTTTAAAGAAAACATTTCTAAAATGTCCTTATATGCCCTCATCATTTCGTTGCTGCTGCTGACAACTAGAAAAGGTATCTAAATCTTAAAAACAGTTGTAATGTCTTTATTGTTTAATTATTCATAAAATTGATGTCAGTGGAATGCTAAGAAATACAAAACAATGGTACCATATCATTTGAAATAGATTCTAAAATTATGATTGATGCTTGCGCATCAAGGCTATATAATAAAGAAAGTAATTAATCTTCACCGTTGATTTATTTTACATTGACAGAAATCCTTTTTTTCAATATAACTTATTTTATGATAAGTATATTCTGATTATTTTAAAAATGACGAAAAACGTCTTGATAAAGTATCAGCTCTGAGAAAGAATGTTTAATCGAATGAGTGGCCGCTCACACTAGAGTGTATGACAGAATTTGATTTAATACAAAGATTTTTGTATTTTCATCCTTCGTTATATTTTTTTCTTCTGAAAAATGCCGGTTTGAATATTTGACACTCTTTCCAAAATAATGTTGCATTCATCACATCACATACAACGTGGAGGAAAACGGGAGAAACTAAATATTTATTCAATTTTTATATAGCGTTATTTATTTGGGCCGATATAAAGATGACGGTAGTGTAGTTAATCTATTAATTATAGGTAAATTACCATAAATAAGTTCCTTTTCATGAATTTATTAATGTGTATAGCAGCACTGCTGATAACTTTAATCAATTGAGCTAAATTATTTTGATAAAGAATTATGATCCACAAACCACACAGAAGGTGCCACAGACTGCAATAGATAAGAAGTCGTTTTGACACTGTAGTCTAGAGTCTCAGGTTTTACACTTGTGATAATTGTTATTCAGTGTCAAAATTCCAATTATTCAAGACAGAAATAAAGAATATGGAGAGCTGACAATAAACAATACGAGGGGTGATCCAAAAGTCTTGGACGCCCTGCTCTAATTTTGTTGGTTTTTGATAAAATTACCTTAAACTTTCCAATAATAAAGACCAACAACCTTACTACTTTGTGTATTGATTTCATGGTGAAATGATATATTTTATGTAGTTTTTTCAATAGTTATTAACATAGTGACCCTGCCACCCAGAAAGGTATTCGCACACTTTCAGCCTTAAATGTTGGCGCTATTTGACTTGTTTTGCAAGTCTTGACCACTATCTATCCTTAAATTTTGAATGTTAAACCATGTTAGTTTACTTCCTTTGTTACTAGGCAACCAATTAATTGTGTTTTAATCATAATGTCACATATGGCAATGGCCGTATATGTCAAGTTCTAAGAGAATGACATCAGACAATCAACCCTCATTCTGGTGTCATTTGTGCTCCAAGATTGCCGCTGAAATGCAGAACATGAAAGAAATCAAAGTGGAACAAAGAATATTACAATATATTTTCACTATAATTGACATGCAGCTACCATATGCACGATATAGTCCAGATATGGCTCCGTGTGATTTTCTTCCTTTTCTCCAAGTTGAAAGGAGGGTTGAAAGAAAATGTTTTTTACTCATTGGATGAGGTTTAGAGTGGCATTACAGCAGCATTTGTATCACATAGGCAATGGCCGTTTCATAAATGTCTTTCATTCATTGGTAAAGCTGTATGACATGACAAATGTGTTAAATTCGTGGAAAATATGTTGAAAAGTAGATCTTAATAATTGAAGATGATGATGGCAGATGACACTCAGACTGAAAATCGGAAATTCTCTCATATCATGACTGGTGTTAGGTTGTGCACCTGCACTTAAGGATGTTCCCTGGACGAAGTTGAAAACGATGAACACCAACCCCTAATTTTTCTTTTAAAAATGTGAAGTACATAGCATAACTAAGTGTTTCTGTGAGTTTAAGAAAAAGTTAAATATTCAAAAGTGTGTTTTGGGGTGAAAACCTGATTTTTAACATGGGTTTCAATGAGAAAGTGCCACGCCCACTTTTGTCAAATATTGACACTTTAGAGGCCTCTTGCTCAGAAAAAAGCACACTAACATATGGTTTTTAAAGTTTTAATATTCTTTGTTGCCCGTGAGAATCCCAGAAAACCATTTTTGAGAAAAAGTTAAATACTATTGAATATTTTCCTATCTGACCAGGGAACATCCTTAAAGTATTTGCCATATTATAACAGTTGTGACGTGATTTGCTATATTTAAATACCGTTCCGGGTGGCAGGGACCCGGTATCAAAAAATATTTAGAAAAGTAGCTAAAATATATTAGTTTCTATTGAAACTTATACACAAAGATGTTAAGATGTTGATCTTTATTATCTGAAAGTTTCATGTAATTATATTAGAAAATAGCAAAGTTAGAGCGGGGCGTCCAAGACTTTTGGATCACCCCTCGTATATGGAATAGGTTTAACTTTTTAGCACTGATTTCAACCTAAATGAGCGATCCCAAAATCTACCCTGTGTATATGCACGGGTATGATCCATGACCACTTCAATCACAAGCAAGTTCCCGATGAAATCGCAAGCATGTACGCGATTCTGGCTGGAAAAAATTGTTCAAATGGATAAAAAACACATTACTTTTCTTTGCAACATTAAATTTAACATGCGGTGATATGCAATATGATTATTTTTCAAACCATAGACGTTTGCATAGTTTACAATTCATATGTCAGTGTACTTGTAAGTCACATGTTCGCGATTTCATCGGTAACCTGCTCGCTATTGAACGTGTCCTGTATCATTCCCACGGATGTTCAGCCTTTTTCAATGACGTGTAAGAAGGAAAGCTACCGAGGAAAGCTATGAAAATGATAACAATCAGTAATTTAATACAGTTTCTCCGGAGCTCAGTGACGTGCTTGCTCCATATCCTTGATGGATTAATTCAATTTGGGAAATGTTTCTTTATATACCAGGCCTTAAATAGTATGAATGATGCAAATATGTGAATGAATGATGGGTGTGGAATAAATAATACTTCAAATGTCTTGCCTTTTCGACATGTTTAACAAAGAAAATCTCCCCATCATTGTGTTTGCAGCAGGCGCAACGAGAGATTATGACAACCTTGGAACAGAGTTCGTGTTGATGTTTCTACAAAATATAGATGGTAGTTTTGAACTAGAGTTGTTCGTTACAACATATGTCAATGTCCCCGTACATGTCAATGTCACAAGTCCTAAGTGGGACTCCCCGAGGGTAGATGAGAGTTACACAATCACAGCTGGCCAAGTACAGATGGTCACATTCTCTAATAATCTACGTATGTCTGGTACTGGCAAGTCAACTAAGGGAATTTTGGTGACAGCATCTGATGAAATAGCCTTGTATGGGTTTAATAAGGAAACGTATTCAACTGATGGCTTCTTAGGTCTGCCAACTGATGTGATGGGGACTGCTTATTATGCGATGGCCTACTCACCTGCTAAATATCAAACAGAGTTGGGGATTGCAGCGTTGTTTGACTCTACTGAAGTATCCATCACACACACTGGTTCAACAACCATCGTCAGTCTGGATCAGTACGAAACATACCAAATGACAAATTCAGGAGACATAAGTGGAGCAAAAATTGTCGCGAATAGTCCCATTTCGGTGTTTAGTGGAAATAAAAAAACCACAATCGTCCCTGCAGGTCTGAGTGGTTGGACCAGTGATCACCTTGTATCACATCTACCTCCTGTGGATACTTGGGGTAAGGAACTGGTTGCCATACCAACACCAGGCAGACTGAACGGAGATATCGTCAAAATTGTTGCAAGTCTCCCAAACACATCTGTAGAGGTCACTGGATTTCCTCTGCAGACTATTGCAGAGAGTGGGGGACTGCTCCAGCTCCATATTCCATTCGGACAGTATAGTAAGATAAAAGCTTCTCATCCTATCATGATGATGCAATTCTCTATCACACAGACAGACTCGGAGTCGTCAGGTGATCCTGCTATGACGCTTGTGCCTTGGATGGAACAGTACGATTCCCAATACACATTCACAACACCAAGTTACTCATTGGGTTCATACTATAACTTCTTAATGGTGGTTATTGAAGACACGCACAAAACCGGCTTACTTCTTGATGGAACAGGTGTATCTGCTAGTTGGACAGCATATGATGGCATAACTTTAGTATCAACTCAGTTGAGCATCACGGAGGGGTCCCATACAATATTGCATGATAACAGCAGCGCCACCTTTGGAGTAATGATGTACGGAAAGGCTAACTATGAGTCTTATGGGTTACCAGCAGGCCTGAAGTTACTACAAGTAAACACAGTAAGTGAATGAATTCGGAAGACCATAACTAAAACTAAGCAAGTCGGTTGTTAATATTCACAATCATTTTGCTCAGATATGTCTAACATGTTGCCAGGGAATTGTATCATAAGAAAACAGTGTAATGACTGGAATGTACTTTATTACATTGCATATTTAGGAATGTATTCCCAGCATCAATGTTGATGATGATGGTGTTGATAATGACGGAATGTACTTTATTACATTGCATATTTAGGAATGTATTCCCAGCATCAATGTTGATGATGATGGTGTTGATAATGACTGCGATGGTTTAATAGATGAAGAAATGTGTGATGTTGCTGGAATGTACTTTATTACATTGCATATTTAGGAATGTATTCCCAGCCTCAATGTTGATGATGATGGTGTTGATAATGACTGCGATGGCTTAATAGATGAAGAAATGTGTGATGTTGCTGGAATGTACTTTATTACATTGCATATTTAGGAATGTATTCCCAGCATCAATGTTGATGATGATGGTGTTGATAATGACTGCGATGGCTTAATAGATGAAGAAATGTGTGATGTTGCTGGAATGTACTTTATTACATTGCATATTTAGGAATGTATTCCCAGCATCAATGTTGATGATGATGGTGTTGATAATGACTGCGATGGCTTAATAGATGAAGAAATGTGTGATGTTGCTGGAACGGGTATAGGTGAGTTTTCTGTAGAAATTGATGAATTTTTTCAAAGGATGAGCATACTTGCAAAAAATAAAATGTATTTTAAGGATTAAAGAAACCAATAAGATCAACATATTTATATAATATGATTATCACCTGTAGTTAAATCGAAACCTCAAAATATGTATATCTAACTTTTGGAGGCATCTTTTAAAATGGCCATTACACTAGGTCTAGAGTTGGCTAAAAGAAATTTCCAAAAAATCAAACTTAGGGGATTCCAAACTTTTAAAATGCAATTACGCGATATACATTTCACGATAAAACGTATAAATATTGAGTTAGAGTTAGACATTCGTAATTAATTAAATTATTTAGTTTTAATCATAGTATTGAAGGAATGATTCAGCATTTATCTTGCAGATGATGATAACGATGGTGCTGTAGATGAGGATTGCTGGTCTGGACTACCTACAACCCCGGCCCCCACTACGACCACTCACACCACAACAACATTTGAATTAACCACAACGACACCCGAATTAACCACAACGACACCCGAGTTAACCACGACGACACCTGAGTTAACCACAACGACACCTACTTTAACCACAACGACACCTGAACTAACCACAACGACACCTGAGTTAACCACGACGACACCTGAATCAACCACAACAACACCTGAATTAACCACAACGACACCTACCTTAACCACAACGACACCTGAACTAACCACAACGACACCTGAGTTAACCACGACGACACCTGAATCAACCACAACAACACCTGAACAAGCCACAACGACACCTGAATTAACCACAACGACATCTGAATTAACCACATCAACATCTACCACAACAACATCTGAACTAACCACATCAACATCTGAATTAACCACTTCAACATCTGAATTAACCACATCAACGTCTGAATTAACCACAACATCATCTGAATTAACCACAACATCTGAATTAACCACATCAACATCTGGATTAACGACATCGACATCTGGACCAGCCATTTCATTTGACTCAACAACTTCAATGTCTGTCCAAACTATATCAACAAATGACCCAATGACATCAACAAACGAACCAGCCCCACAAACATCTGAATCATCTGCTTCGACATTTGACCAAACCATATCAACCTCTGACCCAATTGTATCAACAACTGACCAAACCATATCAACCTCTGACCCAATTGTATTAACAACTGACCAAACCATATCAACCTCTGACCCAATTGTATCAGCAACTGACCGAACCATATCAACCTCTGACCCAATTTTATCAACAACTGACCAAACCATATCAACCTCTGACCCAATTTTATCAACAACTGACCAAACTGTGTCAACCTCTGACCCAATTGTATCAGCAACTGACCAAACCATATCAACCTCTGACCCAATTGTATCAACAACTGACCAAACTGTGTCAACCTCTGAATCAACTCTATTAACAACTTACCAAACCATATCAGGATCTGACCCAATTGTATCAACAACTGACCAAACCGTATCAACCTCTGACCCTATTGCGACAACGTCTGACCAAACTGTATCAACAACTGACCAAAACGCATCAACCTCTGTCTCAAGTATATCAACAACTGACCAAACTGCTTCAACCTCTGTCTCAAGTATATCAACAACTGACCAAAACGCATCAACCTCTGACCCAACCTTATCAACATCGTCAGCTTCCGACCAAACAACACTAACATCTGGACAAACGATGTCAGCTTCAAACCCAGCTGCATTTACATCTGGATCAACCTCATCAACACTTGGGCCAACTTTCCATCAAACATCTGATCGAACTTTATCAACATCCGATCCAACCACGTCAGCCTCTGACCAAGCCGTATTAACATCCGGATCAACCTCAGCATCTGGCCCAACCACATCAGCAATAGTTGACCCACTTGCTTCGATAGTATTCCAAATTCATGGCAATGAAGAGCATATTTCTGATGAGGTACTTGTATGACAAAAATACTTTTGCAAAATACACTTATTATTGACATTTATCATGTTTATTAAATTAAGTCACTAGTGATGAGCTATTGCCTAGTCATTTTAGCGACTTAAAATGCCAATAGAGAAAAGCTCATGCATTGACCTTTTGGATGACCTTGATCTATTATTCTGAGTTTTACATCATGCACATGTTATACGGGTTTTAAAATGCCTTTTGAGAGACCTTGATCCACATGATCTTTGATCTTAACCAATTTCTAATTGGAATGTGACCTTTGTCATTCTTTGTGCCTTGTATTTATCGAAATTCCAATCAAAGTCCATGACAGTTTTACATCGGGGTGAATTTAATCTCATCAGCATTTGTAATGATATTATTTCTCCTATTCCGATCTACTCTGACACCAAGTCCGCTCATGTTAGCCATTTGCCTTCTTTATTTAAAGTCAGTAATCTATTTCCAGTCTACGAGCGTGCCTGTTATCATCGTTTCCACTGTTGTACCAGGTGTGATACTAATTGTTGGGATGTGTACAATGTTCGCAATATTCTCCGTGAAAAGACGTAAACGAAAGCAACAAGAAGACAGGCAAAAAAGCTTGGCCGAACAGGACAAGGCTAGTATAGAGTCAGGAGACCAGAACATTTATATTGCTGAACGCCATTATTTTAGAAATTCTGTCAGCCCATCAGCCATGTCTGACGTTAGTATTTGAACTAACCTCTATAGGAGTATTTATTTCTCTAGATCTGGCTCTGTGGAAAGTGTAGGACAATGATTTGGAAATTCAAAACCATCATATGCATAATAGCCCAGTCACATTTGTCGCACGGCGGCCGTACGTCGACCGCAGATAAATCAAATCAGTGAATTTTTGCGGCGAGCGTAGGAAAACTATTGTCGCCTTACGGTCTCCGTTCGGCATATCCTGTTTTTACAGGCCACAGGGTAGACGTAGAAATTATCATGATCACTCGGAGTTATAATATTTGTTCATTTCCGCGTAAACGTTGCCAGACCGCAGAAAGATTCTACGGTGGCCGCATGTCGAGATTAGGTTGACTTGCGTCTACCGTAGTGCTTTGATGGGTTATGTACCTCCGGAAACAGTGTTTAGGTCAGGTTTGCCGTCATATGCTGTGAACATAATGCAACACGCATACTTGTTTGGTGTAAGGTCACTGATACCAAAGCAAGTTACTATTGGTCAATGTTTCACTAACATTTTTTATTTGATATTATATCCTAGCACGATGAAAAACATTGATGTACAAAAATAAAGATAAGCAGCAACGCTTAGCAACAGAAATTCTAAATTCGGCGGGTGGCTGCCGGAGGAAATGTGACTGCAAAAGTGTTCGACCGCAGAAATTCTACGGCGAGCGTAGAAATGTAACTGACCGCAGAAATGATAGACCGCACGGTAGCCGTAGGAAATGTGACTGGGGTGTAACTCATTCAAGGAAACACAGACTTTTAACGTTCTGAATAATAACATATAGGCGTTGGTTAATTGAAATGAAAACAGCTCTATCCAAGCACCTCTCAATGTGAACACTTTTCACAGTGTTCACAGTGATCTTGCTGTTTGGATTGATATGGCCAGCATTTAAAGTTGAAGTCCAAATTGATTCATTGTTTAAAATCCTGAATCACGGTCTCATTGTGGACTATAAAAGGGAAACCAATTAACTACACTATACGAAAGGTTCCTTTCTAGTAATGAACTCTTTATTGTTGTATTATATATGTTGGTAGTTTGGCCAGTTACATTGGTCAGATAGTGGTCTCTGAAAACAGACTGTAAATGAGGTTGACATGTATATAAAAAACGTTAACAAAAAAGTAAATAAATATGTCTTAATAATTTTATATTTCATTTATTCATATTTCTATTTACAGCAATTGAGCCTCTTATTGTTTCAGCTCCTGGTATTGCACAGATAGACCTATGAGGGTTAAATGTCCATTAAGCAGATCAGTTAGACCCATTAGGGTTAAATTACATTTAAACAGGATCGTTTTCTGAAAAATCCTAAAAATTCTTAATAGTCAAGAAAGAAAATTTGAGTCAACGTGATCACTAAACAGACATTTAATTTGTTTTGGCCTAGAAGCTTCGAATTCTAAATCTCCCTCTTATGCATATAACTGCACATTCCTATTGTCATGTTCAGTCTCCATACTTTTACATTCAGTATTTATTAGTTTATGTTCAGTTTTAATTCCCCTTTCACTCTGTAATTGACAATTAGATCAAGCTACCAGGGAATGGAAGTATAACATTAATTTTTGCATTTTGTACAATTTCTTTAATAAATATCTAACATTTTTGGGACTCTTAGAAGGTTAACATGGTGATTAAAGATTTCATAACATTTAAGGTGGCCAGGGACGTTTCCTTCCTTTGCCAGAATAGGGCATAACCTGATAAAGAGGATTAACTATTCACTTACACTTGAATGGAATTGTTAAAACGAATCAATGGGATCATCATGGCTTAACCTGCCTAGCCAATGTGAATATCCTGACTTCAGCACAACAAGGATTCCATTTTTAGAACACTGAGATAAAAGAGCCCTGGGATTCAACCATGAGACATTATTAGTTAGGTAATTGCTTAAATCATTGTTGTTACCATGGTTACCATAATACAAATACCAAGTTTGCTAAATATATCATTAATAAGGTTTAAAATTCAATGGTTTAATCAGTGAAGTGTGAAGTTTAAGACTCCAATCTAGGCGTACCTTACAACCACCTGGAGTGGTAATAATAATATGACTTGGAAAACTACAAATCACACTACCCTACCACGTGACCACATTTAAAAATGATACAGGGTACGGTTAAGTTGCAAATGGAGCGGGTATTCTCTATCTTTGTCCATTGGGCTTTTCTGGTAATAATACGTTGCAAACTGCTCGATGAATCTATACAATGTATAGTAGAACACTTAGAATATGTGTAAAATCTAGTATACATTCAGAACTATGGAAATAAACAAACGTCCTCCATTTGCAACTTCCCTGTAGCCTGTACTTCTTTTAAAGGAATACAGGATACAGTATGGGGGTATAGTAGTGTGAAATGGCAATTTTCTAAACAACTGAGGGAAACATAAATTATTCTGTTATTAAAATCATATCAAGTTAACATGTTTTGCACCAAAATGTTCTAAATACAGAAATATCACAATATTTTCAAAACTTCCCAGTTTCACATCTCACTTGAATCCTCTAATTGATATCTACTGTTAATGCATCATAACTGTGTCTTTAAGTGTGAGGGATGTCATAAGTCAGTCTGCCCGCAGACAATATCTTTCAGTATAACTAAAATTAATAATGAACATATGATCCATATTTAAAATGTCAATGAAGTCATGCATATAATCAACACTAAAACTTTACTCATTCCATGTTGAACTTGAAAATGTTTGAACAATTTCATCAGGATACACACTGAGGCTGCATGCTAACATTTTCATCAAATTACATAAAATTCTGCATACGTAATTGAGAAGAAATTCTGACAGTGTTCAAGAAAATCTACACATATAGTGTTTTTCAAAAATCAAAATGAGATGATGTACCTCAGTCTGAAACAGATTTAACACCCTGAAGTGAGACTCCAGCAATACACGAAAGATTATCTATATTTGCGTATGCATAGACTCAACTTCATTTCTTTTTTGAGTGTCTGTAACAAGACTACAGTATCCCCACAGCTCTGATTTTTCAACAATTTGGCCACAATGTTTACAATCAAATCAAAGTACAACTTCAAATTAAACATTTTTGACAAAATAGTAAAACTATGCCTGTTTTAGTGTGCCAAATGTAAAATTAGATGTGCTACATTAGACATTCCAGTGTTCTGCATGAAAAAAATTCACTGCAGTCGTGCAAAATGGCGCACAAACATACAAATTCTGCGTAATTTTGGGAAAATTAATAAAGTATAAATGTTTGCATGGTGCAAGTGTACTTTTCTCAAAGCTGAAGGGCTTTGCAGAGTTTGCCTGTTCATCTCCAATAAATGGAGTTTAGATCATGTATCACTTTTAATAAGTGTTCATAACCTATATTGTATTTAATATACCCATTAAATGAATAAAGTTTGGAAACATTCTGAATGAAGTTCAATTTGGATTTAAGTAAATTGCATTTTATGCTATTCTTGTATAGAATCACATTATTGGCCTCTTTCAGAATTACAGAAACACAGAATACTGGTTTGTGTAATAAATATACCAAGATATACCCAAAGAATACAATATGACTAAAACATGGTTTTATAGATCTATAAATACCTGTAGTTATTAATTATATCCAATATTAAGGCTCTGTTTAAAAAGACTAAAATGTCACTTATAGGGTACTGAAATTAGTGGATTTTCAGGGAGTCCCATTAAATTTTGTGACCTTGACCATAAACACACAACGAAGAATAAAATTTAGAAAACAGACTCTGCACTTCTTGAAAGATGAACAGGGTGTGATGGGCTGCGAGCTAGCCTCTTTTTGGGTAAACGTTCAAGAGTCCGTTGTAAGGACACAAAGTCCTGTCTATCTGTTGGTTTGAAGGACCAGCATAGCATCAGGATATCCTGTAAGAATAAGAACAATTCAGTTTGTTATTCACCAAAATTGAACAAAAATAAGATTAACCTGTAAATTGAACTATTAAAAGACTTCCCGTCTCACTTTCATAATGTGCAATGTAGTTGATAAATGGCATTTTCTAAATCATAAAATATGCATCCAACCATTATATTTTACAAACACTATTCTTCTTACTTTTTATGGTGTAAATTGCAGGATGCTGCATATTCAAAATAGGGGTATTTTAGAGAGAGAGAGAGCCCTTTTAATGCTCACAACTTGCACATATTGCTGTTACAAGTTAGCATTTCAATATGAACTTACCTTAACATCCCTAGATGCTTGCATGGAAGCAAGGGACTGCTTTATACCCTTGCCAACCTGCCAGATAATTGCCTCTGGGGGGAGACTCCTGAAAGGCCACTCTCCAGTCAGTAGCTCGTACCAGACAGTTCTGAAATGAAAATAAATGACTGCACTATATGTGTTATATAATATGAATATAGGGAATTTCTTGAAAATTCTCACCAAATGTGAACATTCAGACTTGAAAATTCTCACCAAATGTGAACATTCGGACTTGAAAATTCTCACCAAATGTGAACATTCGGATCTTGATTATCTCTTGTTGAAAATTTTATCATAAAGTCTGTTTGCTAATTCAAGGATTATTGATGTCATCAATAGATTTTGTATTATTAGGTTGAGTGTCCAGTTAATAATTAAGAAATAATTGTATTTTTAGGGCCACTTGTATAACCATCATGTGTGTAACAAGGCATGGGGCAAGAGCCATACCAAAATTTTACAGAAAAATGTACTCGGTATTCAGAGTATGTTTTTAATTGAAACTGTGAAATTACGAGTATGTCTTAATCTTAACTGCATTGGCTATTTGTTGGCCTTCTCTATTCCATTGGCTATGTATTGTATTGGCCTTCTCTATTCCCTTGGCTATGTGTTGTACTTGACTTACCCGAATGCATATACATCTGAATGTGTGGAGAAAGGGACCTCATCAGGTACCTTTGACTTTCCTGGCCTGAGGGAGTGCATAATCTCTGGTGCAAGGTAACATAACCAGCCAGGAGGAATATGGAGTGAATTAGCATGTCTACAATAACAACAACAGACATAGTCACTTAGTAACTCAATGAAGCTAGTGTTTCAAATATTATATCAGTGATCTTATGAGGATTTTTGTCATACCAAATATTATCAAGGTGGTCTTACATTTATACGACAATACAGACAATTGATTGGTCCTGAAATGTACTACATTATACCAGGATAAGTCGAATTCAAGTATGCCTATAAAATACTGAATCAACCCTTGAATCTAGAAATTAAAAAAATTGAGATAGACAACCTGGTGCAATTAGAATGTTCTTGTTACATTGATGATTGGAAGTAAATGTACATTTTAATTTTCTACTTTGATTTTGAATAGGTTAATAAACATTGATGTTTACTTGAGATAATTCATGTTGTGTTGATTTCCAACTAAATGCCATGAGACTGTAATATGATATATACGAGGGTTGTTCCAGAAGTAATGCACTATATGCTCTAACTTTATCAATAATTGATATTTTTCCATGAAATTTTCAGTAAATGTTCCTTCGAGTCATTTTGATATCTATTTTCTATTTATATATATTTTCCTATCATGTTATTTAATATATCAAAATTACACTCTTATTTGTACAATCATTTTTACCTGTCATCATGACAAAGCTTAGTGAAGTTAAACAGTCCATAGTCAGTAATCACAACTTTACCACTCTCAAGAAATATATTCTTGGATTTCAGGTCTTTGTGCACGATACCTCTAGCATGTAGATAGCCCATGCCCTGGAATAAACATTTTATAAGTATAAATATTCCATGATACCTCTAGCATGTAGATAGCCCATGCCCTGGAATAAACATAAAGATTTCATGATATTTCTAGCATGTAGATAGCCCATGCCCTGGAATAAACATAAAGATTTCATGATATTTCTAGCATGTAGATAGCCCATGCCCTGGAATAAACATAAAGATTTCATGATACCTCTAGCATGTAGATAGCCCATGCCCTGGAATAAACATAAAGATTTCATGATATTTCTAGCATGTAGATAGCCCATGCCCTGGAATAAACATAAAGATTTCATGATATTTCTAGCATGTAGATAGCCCATGCCCTGGAATAAACATAAAGATTTCATGATATTTCTAGCATGTAGATAGCCCATGCCCTGGAATAAACATAAAGATTTCATGATACCTCTAGCATGTAGATAGCCCATGCCCTGGAATAAACATAAAGATTTCATGATATATCTAGCATGTAGATAGCCCATGCCCTGGAATAAACATAAAGATTTCATGATATTTCTAGCATGTAGATAGCCCATGCCCTGGAATAAACATAAAGATTTCATGATATTTCTAGCATGTAGATAGCCCATGCCCTGGAATAAACATAAAGATTTCATGATACCTCTAGCATGTAGATAGCCCATGCCCTGGAATAAACATAAAGATTTCATGATATATCTAGCATGTAGATAGCCCATGCCCTGGAATAAACATAAAGATTTCATGATATTTCTAGCATGTAGATAGCCCATGCCCTGGAATAAACATAAAGATTTCATGATATTTCTAGCATGTAGATATCCCATGCCCTGGAATAAACATAAAGATTTCATGATATTTCTAGCATGTAGATGTCTATAGCATTGACATTTTAACCGATCTTCTTGCAAACATTGGTATTTCAATAAAATGAAGGGAACTTAATGAAAAAAACACCACAAAAATGCTGCTTAGACTTACTTGGGCTATCTGTGATGAGATAATAACTGTCCTGTTCATTGGGAAGCTCTCTCTACGTTGGTGGATGTGTGTATGCAATGTACTCAATTTACAATAACTGAAAATAGATATGAAACAAAATAATGTTTCCAAGATCACAAGTGACTCTTTATTTATGAGCAATTGGGCCCAATTCTCCTATCTGATGAAGATGTATAAATATATTGAAAATTCATCATCTAAAATTGTTTGTTGAGCAAAATAGATAAATCAAAATTCTGCAACTTGTTATATAAAACCTTGGGAGATTACTGATCACAATATCTTATGGTTCTTTAACATAATGTGTATTATATATGCTCATACTGCACAAATTCATGATAATGCATATTAATTAATTTGTTGGGTTGATTGATCATTACTTCTTCCAATATTTAGACCTCATGAAATGACATGAAACTTACCTAGTTACAATACCAAGGTGGGGAGTCTTCATACAAGCACCCATAAATAACACAAGATTCTCATGTCTAGTTTTCTTCAGCATACTGACCTACAAAGTATTGAAATGTTCACAGAGTTTACATTTGGGAGTGACTTTGTTGAGATTGCTGAGGCTGAATGTTGAAATTGCTGAGGTTTAATGTTGAAATTGATGAGGTTTAACATAGAAATTGCTGTGGTTGAACATTGAAATTGCTGAGGTTGAATGTTGAAATTGCTGAGGGTGAATGTTGAAATTGCTGAAGTTGGAACACTGAAATTGCTGAGGTTGAATGTTGCTATTGCTGAGGCTAAATTTTGAAATTGCTGAGGTTGAACATTGAAATTGCTGAGGTTGAATGTTGCTATTGCGGAGGCTAAATTTTGAAATTGCTGAGATTCAATGTTGCTATTGCTGAGGCTAAATTTTTGAAATTGCTGAGGTTAAACATTGAAATTGCTGAGGTTCAATGTTGCTATTGCTGAGGCTAAACTTTTGAAATTGCTGAGGTTGAACATTGAAATTGCTGAGGTTCAATGTTGCTATTGCTGAGGCTAAACTTTTGAAATTGCCGAGGTTGAACATTGAAATTGCCGAGGTTGAACATTGAAATTGCTGAGGTTCAATGTTGCTATTGCTGAGCCTAAACTTTTGAAATTGCTGAGGTTGAACATTGAAATTGCTGAGGTTCAATGTTGCTATTGGTGAGGCTAAATTTTGAAATTGCTGAGGATGAACATTGAAATTGCTGAGGTTCAATGTTGCTATTGCTGAGGCTAAATTTTGAAATTGCTGAGGTTGAACATTGGAATTGCTGAGGTTCAATGTTGCTAATGGTGAGGCTAAATTTTGAAATTGCCAAGATTGAATGATAATTATTATTGTATAGTCTGAGTAGTTTGTAGCACTATTCATCATTTCTCCCATCAAAATATTTCAAATATTCATACATTCAAAACAAGTAAAATACAGAAAAGAGGGTGCCTCAGACTCTGTAAATCATTGAAAAATTGATTTTTACTCCATGAAATTTGGCATAAGGTATGGAGGTTTCAAAGATTGTTATATATTACAATATACCTCCATTTTGAATGCAGCTTGTTGTTCCATTTTGGTGTCTGTATCAATGTCAAACATTTTTATAGCCACATCCCCATGCCAATTGCCCCTAAAAATATAATGCCAGTTTTTTTTTTTTATAATTTTTTTATTTCAAAGAATAAGCATGTTAAAGCAATTGCAAAAAACAATTACAGTACAGTTACAAGGTAAACCTACATTTAACAATTTTACAATACAGTACAGTGGTTAAATATTTCGTCTTAAGAGACGTTATACCATTGGCATTTTTTTTATTTAAAGGAAAAAATCATCAATGCCAGTTTTAAAGAGGCACTGCCATGAGACAGGGCAATTCTGGTACAGCTTAATATTTTTGCATTGAGAGGTCTAATTGATTTTTATTCATCAATTTGATCTGTATCTATCAGAAACATTACTCACTTAAATACAGTTCCAAATCTTCCTTTTCCAACAATTGAATCAAACTGGAGGTCCTCATAAGGAATATCCCATTCTTTTAATGCAACAGAAATCTGTAAAGAGAAAGTAATACTTTTAATTTCATATAGAAACAACCCATAATGAGTCTCAAAGTGTTACACTTGGCCACTTTGTCTATGCCTTCCAGTTACAGATTCTCAAAAGATATTTTGTTTTCTCCTGAATTAAACCCATTTTCAAACAATTTTCTCGATCAACATATGCATGCGATTAGGGCATGGTTTCTCGATTCATAAAAAGTAATAAGTATTATTCACCAGGCATCATCAAGTAGTGCCATATTAGCAGTTTGAGTTCCACACTTTTGTAACACCCTGTGTTCTTGAGATTATAAATCTGTTAATGTATTGCTTCATGATGATGCTAGATGAATACTTATAACATTTTTTAAACAAGAGATTATGCTCTAACTGCACGTGTATGACTATTGAGACACTCATCAAAGAAATGAGGAAAAATTGAGGAAATAAAATATTGAATATACAGTATAATATACAACAAGACAATATGGCACTTTTCAAGGGAGATAAAAAATACAATGAGGAACGCTTAAAAAAATATAAATATCCCGCAAATGTTTCCTCAAATGGACCACAATCAAAAACAAAAATATCTACCTCTCAAATAATATCTCTTTATTAAGTTTTCATTGTGAAAATAATTTTGGAAAATGACAATTTTATTCAAGAGAGAATGTCTTGCATCCACTAGATCCTATCTTAATGAGAAGATATCACTGTATCATGAAATCATGGACATGTTTATCATGATTACAATTTCACCAATATAATCATGTTAATTATGAGACATTGTATTGTATTGTACAGCTGCTAAATTCACTAAATGATTTGAATACAAGTTACCCAGTGACAAGCCAAAACAATGGGGTTATAGGGTTGTTTGTAAACTTCTCATTTTACATTTTAATTAATTGAACACCCTAATATATACTGAATGCTTCAGTTTGAACAAGAATACAAAGAGTTGTACATGATAATGCTGATTATAGTACTACATGTTAATAATAATAATGAGACATGTAATTAATCAAGACCAAACAATTCAGGTTTTACATTTCAAGTTATGTCTTCTCTGTACCTTCACTCAAATGCATTACAAAGAGTCATTATCTAAATCAATAACACTTAAATTAATTAACTTCTTAACTGACTATTCTATTCTCTGTAAATATGATATTTTTGTGAGTGCAGAAAATCAAAGGAGGAAGAAACCAAGGAAAAGAAACCTGATTAAAATATAAAAGCCAAAAATCTTTCCAAAAATACATTTTTGATCCTATAAGAACTCAGGTGTTTCACTAAAATTTCTCACAACAGGCTAAATAAATGAAAACAACAGGCAAAATCAATAATAAATTCAACATGGAAAAGTTGAAAAGTCCCTAAAAACAACAGGTGATTTTGTGAAAACAACTGGTGAAAATCGCCTGTTGCCTGCTGCTAATGAAACCCCTGAGTACTCCAGTTAATATACTGACATTGGAATTTATTGAGGGAACACCAGATAGATCAGATGCTATGGTTGTAAAAATCTTTCTCAACAATTCAACAGCAATGCAACCTGGGAAACATTCCTCTTGTGAAGATTCCATTGCAAAGGGAATCTGGGAAATTATCCGAAGGAAATCTGGGAAAAAACCTCTTGTAAATCCACTTAAAACTTATCTCATTATTAAAATTATCTCATGCAAGGACACCTGGGAAAACCTCTTGCAAAACCGCTGAAAACTGGGTAAATAATGTAATGTGAGGAACCCTGGGAAACAACCTCTTGTAAATATTCAACTGAATAGCTAGAAAATATTGAATGCAAGCAAGGGAATCTGGGAAACAATTTCTTGTAAGAATTACATGGGAAAGACAACCTCCTGCACCAAGGGAGGTATAAAAGGTGCCAGGCATATCATGTTTCTCATTTATATCAATCGGTTCAGGGATGGCTTCTCTTTAATAAATTCAAAGGTAAGATTTAAAAATTTAGTAGACTAAGAAAGAGCATTGGAGGCTAGGTTTGGTGAAAAAATGTAGAGATTCTGTATCGCTTAGATTTAACTGTTAAGAAAACATTTTAATTAATTATAGAATATTGTCTCAACTGCTATATGACTTTACATCTGGAAGTTATAGATAATCATTGGATTAGCAAATAGACTTTGTGATTCTCTCTCTCTTAAACAACTGTATGACATTGTCATATAAGGAATTTTAAACTATTTTTCCATATTGGTAACAATTTCTTCTATATTTCTCAAAGGGCAGGGACAAAATTTCTAAGGAAAAATAATGTGAGAAATTCTATTTCCAATTTTCCTAAATCATAAATATTTTGCATATGGATAAATTAAAATGAGTCACAAATATCAAAAAATATTTTGATATTTCTGCAATGATAAAGTTTCCAACTGAAAAAACACAAAGTGTGGTTAAGCCAGGGATATCTATAGTTCATAAGCATTATTGAATTCAATGAGAATTGTATGTTAAGCCAGGGATATCTATAGTTCATAAGCATTATTGAATTCAATGAGAATTGTATGTTAAGCCAGGGATATCTATAGTTCATAAGCATTATTGAATTCAATGAGAATTGTATGTTAAGCCAGGGATATCTATAGTTCATAAGCATTATTGAATTCAATGAGAATTGTATATTACCAGTCGAGACACTTTTTTTTTATTTCTATCACTAATCCATCCAGTTTTTGATCAGTTTAGTCTAGAACTAATAGGATCTCAAATCTTCAGTTTTAGGGTTGCTACATTGAACCTTCTATGTAATAATACAGTGTATCTCATACTTGAGTGGGTTTTGGGTAGATATCACCCGGGAATATATATCGTATCTGAGGAGCGGGCAGGATATATTGTATATGTCCCGCTCCAGGCCAAATGCGGGCAGATATAATATATCCATCCCGCTCCCGGGAATTTTTCAAAAGTTTAAATATCAAAAGTTTTAATTTTTTAATTTTGAAATTTATTTTTTTTAAGTTTAAATGTTACAATTTCATTGTATTGAACAAAAAGAATATTACGAAAATGTTAAATATAAATATCTTGTCATTTGAAAAAGATGGAAAAGGTTATATCTACCCTAAACCCATTCAAGCATGAGATACACCAGTTATGCACGGTCGGTTTGGATACATGGAATATCCCTCGGGATATTCCCTGTATCCAAAACCTCCCAGTGCATAACCCCTATATATACAAATGCTAAATCAAAGTGATTGCTTCCTTTCAGTAAATAATTCCAATCAATCAATTTTTATCACTTAATTTTTAATAGAGACAGTGATTAATTCTTGATATTTTAATGTTCATTACTTATATTTTTTCAATTTGAAGAGGTCGTCCAGATGATTAATTCTCTATTTGTTTTGCTTAAACAGCCCATATTACTTTCATATACTGCTTGATTTCTCTTACTGTTATATACATTTTTGACCTACCAGGGGGTTGGCATTTTGAACTTATGATTTTGAAATACCTCCTTCAACAATACTGTTTAACATTTATAGCAGTGTAGGAGATGACAAAGATAAAATCTATTGTAATTTATGTATTACTCATTCAATCTCTTGAAAAATCATATCATTAACTTCCATGTACATTCTATCCCTAAATGCATATCCTAGACGATAAATTAACCGCCTATCATTTATTACTCTTATGCTACGCCCTATGCAGATGGGCCTTGCAGAAAATGCTTGGTACGGACATCATGTATGCGTGGTGTGGAGTCAATGTCATTTTTGAATTTGTGATATGTTATAAACTAAGCAATTGTATAAAACTACCTTAATTGAGGGGTGCTTTTCTGAAATCCTAACAGCGAAAAGTGTTTAATATTTAAGAAATACAGACCGAAGATCAGGTGTTATATCGACAAATAAGCCCTACAGGGTTAGGCACAAACGTTTTCGTTCCAAAGCTTTTGTACCTAGCCCTAAGGGATTTATTCATTGATCTAAGGTCTATATTACGATTAGAACATGAAAACTCCCCAAAATGATATTTCAAATATTCATTATGGTCCGCCATTACTACAGCCCAACGTAATGAGGTCATACATTACTTGTACTACCCAGCTGGTATTGTTGACGAATATACCACAGAAGAAATATTGACTTTGTTCACACTTTATAGAATCAATGATTAAATATATTTAAATCAAAATGTATTCATTTTCCAGGACCAGTATAATGAGATCCAGTAGAATGGGGTATCCATCATTGATCATATGCTGCTGGTGCTTGCTGGAAATAGCAAATGTATTACCTACTACAACAGTCAAAATGGGAGATGTGACACCTTCAACTCCAATCAAAATGGGAGATGTGACACCTTCAACTCCAATCAAAATGGGAGATGTGGATCCTTCAACACCGATCACAATGAGAGATGTGACACCAACAAAAATCGAAATGAGAGATGCGGATTCTTCAACAACAATCAAAATGGGAGATGTGACACCTTCAACAACAATCAAAATGGAAGATGTGACACCTTCAAAAACAAACGAAATGGGAGATGTGACACCTTCAACAACAAATGAATTGGGAGATGTGACACCCCCAACAACAAACGAAATGGGAGATGTGACACCTTCATCAACAAATGAAATGGAAGATGTGACACCTCAACAACAAATGAAATGGGAGATGTGACACCTTCATCAACAAACGAAATGGAAGATGTGACACCTTCAAAAACAAACGAAATGGGAGATGTGACACCTTCAACAACAAATGAAATGGGAGATGTGACACCTTCAACAGCAAACGAAATGGGAGATGTGATACCTTCAACAACAATCAAAATGGGAGATGTGGATCCTTCAACAGTCAAAATGGGAGATGTGACACCTTCAACAACAATCAAAATGAGAGATGTGACACCAACAAAAATCAAAATGAGAGATGTGGCACCTTCAACGACAATCAAAATGAGAGATGTGACACCAACAAATATCAAAATGGGAGATGTGGCACCTTCAACAACAATCAAAATGAGAGATGTGACACCAACAAAAATCAAAATGGGAGACGTGGCACCTTCAACAACAATCAAAATGGGAGATGTGACACCTTCAACTCCAATCAAAATGAGAGATGTGACACCTTCAACTCCAATCAAAATGAGAGATGTGACACCTTCAACTCCAATCAAAATGAGAGATGTAACACCTTCGACTCCAATCAAAATGGGAGATACAGATCCTTCAACAACAATCAAAATGGGAGATCTGACACCTTCGACTTTGGTCAAAATGGAAGGTACACCACCTGAAAATATATTGGAAAAGGTGGATGAGACAGCTGAAATACAGGATGACATGATCAATATGACACCTCCAAGCATGGCTGAAATAATGATTGAGTTTCGAGATGGCATATCTTCACCTATATGTCCACCAGAACCAAGGTCTTGCAAGAACAGATGTAGTGAAGCTCCTTTACAGAAGCTAACTGAGTTCTTCTGTCAGTGTGATGATTACTGTGTCCTGTACAAAGATTGTTGTCATGACTACAGCAAATTTTGTCTCCCTCCTGGTGACTCTGATGATTCAAGGAAAGTTGAAGACTCTACTGAAGCAGCAATGGTCTCTGCTCCTGACTCACATAATGAACAATACACAGGTATAATATCACAAATGAAAGCAAACAATTCTACAGAATCGGTACATGGTAAGTTATCTGAACTGCCAATGCATCCATCAACATCTGGTGATGAACTGGGACAGAAAATTCCTGACTCACACTCAGGACCAAAAATGCTCGACCCACCCATTGAACAGATTCCTGATCAACTTTTAGGATCAAAAATGCCCGACCCACCCCTTGAAGAGATTCCTGATCAAGTCTTTGGATCAGAAATGCTTGACACACCCCTTGAACAGATTCCTGACCAACTTTTAGGATCAAAAATGCTTGACCAACCCCTTGAACAGATTCCTGACCACTTTTCAGGATCAAAAATGCTTGACACACCTTCTGAACAGATCCCTGACCAACTCTTAAGATCAGAAATGCTTGACCCACCAATTGAACAGATCCCTGACCAACTTTTTGGATCAAAAATGCTTGACTCACCTTCTGAACAGATCCCTGACCAACTCTTAAGATCAGAAATGCTTGACCCACCCCTTGAACAGATTCCTGACCACTTTTCAGGATCAGAAATGCTCAACCCACCCCTTGAACAGATTCCTGACCACTTTTCAGGATCAGAAATGCTCGACCCACCCCTTGAACCGATTCCCGGTCAACTATTAGAAATACTCGACCCACCCCTTGAAGAGATTCTCGGTCAACTCTTAGTATCAGAAATGATCGACCCACCCCTTGAACAGATCCCTGACCAACTTTTAGGATCAGAAATGCTTGACCCATCCCTTGAACAGATTCCTGATCAAGTCTTTGGATCAGAAATGCTTGCCCCACCCCTTGAACAGATCCCTGACCAACTTTTGGGATCAGAAATGCTTGACCCACCCCTTGAACAGATTCCTGATCAAGTCTTAGCAACAAAAATGTTTGACCCACTCGCTGGACAGAAAATGCTTGACCAAATATTTAATGATGATGAATTAGCTTGCTTAAGAATTTCAAAATCACAGAGTGTTTATGCGAGATCATTTTGCAGAGACCGCACTAACGAGCTTACAGTCGCTAAATGTGAACAACCCCTTATGGTAGACCCGATTCACTTGACACCCGTCTATGACTCAAATGGAGTCATATATAAGAACATATTTTGCGCGTATTGCAATGGTGCTAACAAAATCAACTTCTGGAAAACAAAGGTATCTTGTAATAGCAACAACAAGGTAAATACTCTTGATTTGAGCCCAAATGTTTTGTATGAGAGTTTGTCAAAGCAGTCTGATTGTTTTCAAGAATATAACATTGATAATCAGAATTTATTTGCTAGACCTTGCTTTCAAACAACCCATTGTACTGAAACAAGCATATATTATCAGGCATGTATTAATGGTGGTTTAGCTCCAGTCTTTACTTTCAATGCAGAAAGAAAATCAAAACAGAATGTTTTCAAAAATGAACACTGTGCAAGTTGTTTTGGGGTTGATGTTGCATGTGGGCTTATTGATGAGGCATTCAATAATGATGCATATAAAGCAACCCATCGGGGCATTGATGAAAACTTCTCATATGGGTTTACAATGGACATTCTTCCTAATGGTGACACCACATTCATTGTTGATGATGTCACAGGTGGCTCTACAAGTCTAGCCATGGAATCAAAATGCTCTCTGCAGTTTGAATGCACCATCAAAAAATGCCCAGAAAATTATCGTATCCAGGATGGTAATTGTGTTTTCAATGGATCTATTGTACAAGTTGAATTGCATCTACAGGCATATCCTGAAACCAGTGGTATTCAAATGTTTTCAAGTCTCATTGCAAAGGTTCATTCAATTTCTAAAAAGTTTTCTTCTATCATACCACTGTTTAGGTTAGAATTAATGGATCAATGTTGTTCTAATGTGAATATGGAGCCTTGGATGGTGTGCAGTATTCAGTATAAGATAACAGTTCAGCTTAACAATACAATGACATCAATGGAAAGGACTGCTTATTTCAATGAAAAGAAAGAGGCATTGCTTTTCGAGATAACTAATTTCACAAATACTCCATTTGTAGAGGTTAATATTAAGACTTCTGCACCTCCGTTTAATTCTGGCCAACATGTAAGTCCAGCCTACAGTTCATCTAGTAAGTCCATGCTAGAGTTGGGCACATTGGTAGTAATTCTATTTAGTGTAATGGACTCACTTACTAGTTATATTGGATGACTATGTGTAAGTGTGGGTGCGTATACTAATATTGATCTAATATAGATCATCTGGAAGTTTCAGTATTGGACCTTATACCAAACTTGACAAGGCATCAACATGACAAAATGTCACCACCAAGTTATTAGTTCAATCTTAAGTCAGGTTTGAATTTCTGAGATCTTGTAGATGATTTTGAAAAAGATTGGTGACATTTGAAGCAAGTTAAAAATACCTTTTTTGACCCTGAGAAGGTCATTGAAGGTGAAATCTCAAATCTAAAGTCAGATTTGAACTTCCTAGAACTTGTAGTTGATTTCTAAAAAATGGTCAATTTGAAGCAAGTTGAAAAATACCTTTTTGACCTTGAGAAGGTCATTGAAGGTCAAATCTATAGTCAGAGTTGAAGTTTTGAGAGCTTCTAGATGATTTTGAAAAAGAAAATTGGTCAATTTGAAAAAAGACCCTTTTGACCTAAACATTTCTCAATATTTCAAGCTTTTGGCAGTGTGCAAACACTATCTCAACAGGGTGGCATTAATGTTTTAACTTTTCAACATGCTACAGTACTCAGTTGCTCATATGCTTGGGAGATTAATGATGAGAGAGTTCTACTTACACTATTTTGTCTGTGCCAAGACTGGTTAAGTGACTCCTCAGTACTATCTATTGAGTCAACTCTGTCCGGCAGAGTCTTTTCAGAATTGTTACTCTGAAATAAAAGCAAAAATAATGCTAATGATTATATTAAAAATTCGGAGGTTAATCTATTTGAAAATCCTAAAATTAAATGGTAAAAAAATGTGGACTGAATACAATTTCTATTTCAAATGAATCTAAGAATATAGGAGGGTTTGTTATGGTAGGTTTTGGATATGGTGTATATACACTGTATATGGAAATATATATTTCTTACTAAGGGTCCATATGGCCCAAGGTAAGATAGCATAATTCCTGAGGGATATACCCCATATTCAAAACCGAGCTGACAGGGGTTTCAATAGCAGCAGGCAACAGGCGATTTTCACAGGTTGTTTTCACAAAATCACCTGTTGTTTTTAGGGACTTATGATTTCCATTAATTTTGCCTGTTGTTTTCATTTATTTAGCGTGTTGTGAAAAATTCTAGTGACACCCCTACGAGCATCACATAACTGATTTATCCTATGACAAGTGAGGATTCACAAGTGGACACCCATATGCAGGTTTGTTTTCTTTAAGGATGCAGTACCAGGTCAGCGTAGAGAAAGTTCCAGACATTAGATTTTGCTCATATTTGTCACAATGTATCACTATGATGTTATCATCATTCAAGTGCAATATGAAGAGGATTGACCGTCTGGTAATTACAAAACAAGGCATTAACATGACAAAATGTCACCACCTAGTTGCTCACAATATTATGAGTTCAAACTTAAGTCAGATTTGAATTTCTGAGAACTTGTAAAGTCAAATTTGAACTTCTGAAAAGATGTAGATGATTTGAAAATTTTTTTTAGTCAATTTGAAGCAAGTTGAAAACAGACCTTTTTGACCTTGAGAAGGTCATTAATGGTCAAATGTCAAATCTAAAGTCAGATTTGAATTTCTGAGAACATGTAGATGATTTTGAAAAAAAAAATTAGTCAATTTGAAGCAAGTTGAAAAAAGACCTTTTTGACCTTGAGAAGGTCATTAAAGGTCAAATGTAAAATCTACAGTCAGATTTGAATTTCTGAGAACATGTAGATGATTTTGAAAAAAAAATTAGTCAATTTGAAGCAAGTTGAAAAAAGACCTTTTTGACCTTTTTTGACCTTGAGAAGGTCATTGAAGGTCAAATGTCAAATCTAAAGTCATATTTGAATTTCTGAGAACATGTAGATGATTTTGAAAAAAAAATTAGTCAATTTGAAGCAAGATGAAAAAATACCTTTTTGACCTTTTCTGACATTGAGAAGGTCATTGAAGGTCAAATGTCAAATCTAAAGTCAGATTTGAATTTCTGAGAACATGTAGATGATTTTGAAAAAAAAATTTAGTCAATTTGAAGCAAGTTGAAAAAAGACCTTTTTGACCTTTTTTGACTTTGAGAAGGTCATTGAAGGTCAAATGTCAAATCTTAAGTCAAATCTAAAGTCAGATTTGAATTTCTGAGAACACGTAGATGATTTTGAAAAATTTTTTTAGTCAATTTGAAGCAAGTTGAAAACAGACCTTTTTTGACCTTGAGAAGGTCATTGAAGGTCAAATGTCATATCTTAAGTCAAATCTTAAGTCGGATTTGAATTTCTGAGAACACGTAGATGATTTTGAAAAAAAATTTAGTCAATTTGAAGCAAGTTGAAAACAGACCTTTTTGACCTTTTTTGACCTTGAGAAGGTCATTGAAGGTCAAATGTCAAATCTAAAGTCAGATTTGAAGGTCAAATGTCAAATCTAAAGTCAGATTTGAATTTCTGAGAACATGTAGATGATTTTGAAAAAAAATTTAGTCAATGTGAAGCAAGTTGAAAAAAGACCTTTTTGACCTTGAAAAGGTCATTGAAGGTCAAATGTCAAATCTAAAGTCAGATTTGAACTTCTGAGAACATGTAGATGATTTAGAAAAAAATTGAAGTCAGTCTAAACAGTATTTGTTAAGTTATAGGAAGTTGTAAGAAATTGTTACAGACGCCGGACGCCAACCGCCAGACGCCAACCGCCGGACGCCAACCGCCGTCGCAAAAAAACGGAGACCATAACAATATGTCACCAAAAGTGGTGACATAACAAAAGTGGTGACATAATAAAAATTATTTTACCTACCCAAAATGAATCTTTTTACTTTTTTGAGTTTTCAATAAAGCTGGCACATTTCTAACCCTGGTTTTCGTATCCACTAATTGCGACTCAAGAACAAGTTTTCCAATAAAAGTGAAAGGGATAAAATATGCTTGATAAAATGTTTGCAATTTAATTCTTTTCTGGAAACACCATTATCGAAATAAACTATAATTTTTGAATAAGACTAAATGCGAAAATGAGGTTCTTGGGAGCTAGCTTTCTCAAACCGGAAGTAAAATCTGCGCAAACAGACGTGAAAACCGACCCGGTACTGCATCCTTAAAGTGTTCTCATCCTCATTATTTTCGAAAAATTCATCAACATTTTGGTCAAGAAAAATTCTACTGCATCCATTTTGACAGTTTTGCTATAGCAAGGCATTTTAACAAATTGACTGTTTCTACTCTGAACAAAAATGTTTTCTCTGGAATATTGGAGTGGGAGATATACAGCGAGAGATAAACAACAGGAGATAAACAGTGTTATCCCGTACTTAGTAGTGTTATAGGTAGATAATGATGTGGGAATATAATTGATATCTGAGGTGAGTGGGTGATATATATCTCCCGCTGAGGTGGGTGGGAGATATTGTATATATCACACGCTGATCAGCAATTCCCGGGAATTTCGTGAGGTGCTTTTTTCGCTCATTAGTACAATACCTGTATAACTATGGTCCTATTGAATTGATATTAATTTCATATACTGTTAAATGTTAAAAACTGTTGCCTTTTTAAAAAACAATAAAATTGTTAAGAATGTTTAGATTGTAATTATCATTATTGAAATTATTACACGAGGTTCAATAACATTTAACTCATGCTTAATCCTCATAATCTACTAAGTATAGGATGAATCAGTTATTAAATGCTCGATTTTTGATACAGGGCAAAGTTAGTTTATACCATTGTGAACTAGGCATCATCATATAAAATTTGAACCAAATCCGTTCACTGGTATATGTGTTATCAAAGATTACATTTTTTACGAAAATTGGCTGCCATCTTGAAATTCAGCCGCCATCTTGAAAATTATTTCTTGAACAGAGCGACTGTGTCCCTAGGCATAATCGTATAAAATTTCAACCGAATCTGTTCACTGGTATTTGAGTTATCAAAGATTACGTTTTTACGAAAAATTGCCGCCATTTTGAAATTAAGCGGCCATCTTGAAAAATTTTTGTCGAACATAGCTACTGTGTCCCTAAGCATCATCATATAAAATTTGAACCAAATCCGTTCACTGGTATTTGAGTTATCAAAGATTACATATTTTTATGAAAAGTGGCCACCATTTTGAAATTAAGCGGCCATCTTGAAAAACCTCTTTTTGTGCGAAACTCCGTTGTCCCTAGGCATCAGCATATAAAATTTAGACCAAATCCGTCGACTTGTATTTGATTTATCAACGATTACATTTTTTACGAAAAATGGCAGCCATTTTGAATTGAGTGGCCATATTGAAAATTCCTTCTCGAGCAGAGGTCCTACACTCATAAGGCATAAGCCTATAAAATTTGAACCAAATCCGTCAACCGGTATTGGAGTTATCGCCCAGACGGACGGACGGCTTCTCTATATCCCCCTCGAACTTCGTTCGGTGGGATAATAATTCTTGGGCAACCAATTCAGTTGAAGAAGGGAAAATGAATAGAGACTACTATGAGAAACTGATGCTTTAATATGCTAATTGTAGAAACTTAGCTGTAATAATAATATATAATATGTATAGGGCTACAGATATAAGTAAAAATACAAATGCTTTAATTTTTGACAATTGAACATCCACACACTTGTATCTTTACATTGTGAAATAAACATGTATAAACTAAAGTATCTAAAGTGTTTTGTTTTACCAACTAAAACAATAAGTGGTATTGTCCACATAAAAGCTTTACAGTGTTGGAAGAACTAGGTGGTTGGGGGGGGGGCTGTGATGTGGGGGTAAGGGGGTAAATGTGTGATATATGGTGACAATAATCATTTCTGATCTTAGACATCATGGACCCCCAATAGGAAGACATACACCAATATCCCCATAGTATGTGTCATATATTATTTCAAAATTACATTGATTTGCCAAGTATCATAGTTCAACTCAAAAATGGGAAAAAGTTACAAGCATTTAAAATTTTGTTTTTACCATAATTAAAGTTTAGTTTTACACAAAATTAATAGTCGCCGCGTCTCCCTTGGCCATGTTAACAGCAGCAATTCTTTCCAGATTTGACCTTAAATGCACTTCAAGTAGGGGTATGGCATTTAATAATCCTCAGAGAACCTTTTTAAGGCATTTTAGAAGAGTTTCTTTTGAGTATCTGCCCTTCAAACCTCTTTTTCCAACTCAGTATCCATCCTCTCTTTGACAATAGCATTCATATTTTTAGTCACATTCAGGTTGGCGCTGTTTCCGGAATACTGAATTTGACTTTAATTTTGGCCAAACACCAAGTTTTGAAATGCCTGTAGCCTTTTCCCATTTGTGAGTTGATTTGTGACCATGATACTTGGCAAATCAATGTACCTTTGGATGAGCTTTAAAATGATATATGACACATACTATGGAGACATTGGTGTATGTCTGTGGGGGGGGGCATACTTTCGGGACACCCTGTATATCCATAATACTGACTAATATTGATTGGATATAATCAGAATTTAGAGATTTGGGATAAAGCAATTAATTTCTATTTTTCTATACTGTATGAGTGTAATGTTATACTTACATCTACCAATGTTTTGTCACTGTCATTTGAGGTATTAGAAGTGTTTGTGTTCACCAACGTCTCTCTGTAATAAAAAAAATCAATAGAAAAAAGTATGTGATCAGTTTTTGCTACTCCTGACATGTTGCTTCCCGAAATCTAGGATTAGGGAAACTTGGTATGTGCCTTGTAAATAGACTTAATTTCATCCAAACTCAGACTTTTCTTCAATTTACAAATTTCGGTTACTTTTCACATCAAATATTTCAATAATTATTAATAATTAAATAGTTTTAATCTATTTATAATTCAAATATTTTCAGTGACTCATTGGTTTCATGAAGATATAATATGCAGATTTCACATGAACCTAATACATGTATTATAGAAGGTTAAAGATGAAGGCCAGGTCTTTTCAACTCTATTTTAAATCAAAATGTCACACCAATACATTTCACTTACAAATGTCAGTCTTTTCAACTTTAAATCAAAATGTCACACCAATACATTTCACTTACAAATGTCAGTCTTTTCAACTTTAAATCAAAATGTCACACCAATACATTTCACTTACAAATGTCAGTCTTTTCAACTTTAAATCAAAATGTCACACCAATACATTTCACTTAGAAATGTCAGTCTTTTCAACTCTATTTTAAATCAAAATGTCACACCAATACATTTCACTTAGAGATGTCAGTCTTTTCAACTCTATTTTAAATCAAAATGTCACACCAATACATTTCACTTAGAAATGTCAGTCTTTTCAACTCTAACTTGGATTTGAGTCATGTGAAATGTGTCTATATTTACTTACGTTCTAGATTCCCCACCATGTGCATCTATTAGAATGTGATTGCCCAATTCTGAAAACATGAAAAAATAATATTAGGGTCATGTAAAAGTAATCTTTTTAACTGGGGATTAATTATGCTGCCTCCCTCTATTGTAATCCACTAAACACCCCTATTAGCCAAAGTTATATTGTAAAATAAAGTAAACCCAATTGTAAAGACAGTATTATTGTAAATGAGCCAAATACAGCAATACAATAAAAGCTGTAAATTGGATCACCTCTGTAAATGGAACAGCTCTGATCCATAAGTGGAACGCTTTTCAAAGTCCCGTAAACTATTGATATATCGTTATAAAAATGAGCCTCTGTTAGTGGAAAACCTCCCAATTGGAAGGATATTTTGAGGTACCAAAGGTGTTCCATTTACACAGGTTTTACTGTATTTCATGAATCTTAATTCACTACATTTCAAAAATTGGCATTTTTTTTTTTTTTGTTTAAAATGTATTTATTTTAAGAGGATTGCCCAGAAACATTTCGCTTATCGAGGGGCTCTCCTCTCTTTATTATTTACATTATAATTAGAGATGTTGGATTATACTATAATAATTGAAGTTTAAATTAGTAAGTGTGTTTGACGATTATCATGGAAAACGTCCAGTGTTTTTTATGTAGTTTTGACAAAGCATTAGGATATTTTGGTTTGATGTTGGGGTTAACAAGGGGCTACCATGAATGAGCAATTGAACCTTAGATGCAATAGATTTGAGGTTATGTCTGGTTTTAGGAGGGTATTGTTCAATTATTCTATCGATTCCTTCAAGTAGGATGACCCGTTGGTGTTCGTATAGGGGACATTTTAGGAAGTAGTGTGTTACGTCTTCCCTGTTTGAGGGACAATTGTCACAACTACCATCGGGTATGAGCTGGTACATCATGCGCTGATTGTTCAGGGCACTGAGTCCCATTCTTATTCTTGAGAGGTTTATGTGATGTTTTCCTTTTCCTTGTGAGAATAGCTTGTTTGGTTTGCTTAGAGAGGCTTTTTTGTAGTCAATTTTGAAACGACCAACAGAGTCTGTTGTTTTCAGCTCTTCTCCGAGAGAGTTCCACGTGGTAGCGACACTGTATAGGGTAGACCTTTTCACTTTTTCACTTCTACTTAACATTGTTTGCATGTTAAAATGGCGAGTGTTCAGACGACTTGGTCTTTTTGGGCTAACTTCGAGTAGATATTTGGGTAGATTTTCATTCATTATTTTATATCCGAGTATCATTTTGTAATATTTTCGTCGCTCAGCAAGTTTGTCCCATCCAAGCTCTTTAAGAATTTCACCCGTGTCGGTTCTCACGTAGGCCCTGGTGCATGCTAGTGCTGCTTGCCGTTGTATACCCTCGATGCGAAGACTTTGCTGGTTAGTACAGTTATCGTAGAGGATGCAGGCGTACTCAATGATCGGTCTGATGTAGGTTTTATAGTATGTTTCTTGAAGTTGCCTAGGAACGCGTCCGCTGAGTCTCCATAGGTTTCCTATTTGTCTTCTTGTTTTCTCACTCAGATTGTTTATGTGGTTTTCCCAATTTAGGTTTTCTTGAATGGTCAAGCCAAGGTGAGTGTGTGATGTTACCTTTTTTATTCTTTTGTCACCTATGGATAAGGTTAAATTCAGATCGTTTGTTGTCACAGGTAATGACGTTATCACCATGTATTCTGTTTTAGTGGGGTTGTAATGCATTTTCCACTTTTGTGCCCATTCGTTTAGCATGTCTGGGTCTGCGTTGATTTTTGTTGTTTTCTCATGCACATTTGCTCGATTTATGAATGTCATTATACTGGTGTCATCCGCAAACAAGTGGGGGTCACACTGTATTCCTTCGATGATGTCGTTTGTGTATATCAGAAAGAGGAGAGGGCCTAAGATAGAGCCCTGTGGTACTCCACAGTTTGTGCGTTGTGAGGTTGATTTTGTTCCTTCAATGACAACTTGTATCTCTCTTTTTTCTAGGTAACTTTGGAACCATTTAAGCAATTTTCCTTGAATGCCAAGTGAGCTGAGTTTGTAGAGCAGGCCTCTGTGCCAAATTCTGTCGAAGGCTTTGCTTGCATCTAGGAACACAATACAAGCTGCAGTCCTTTCTTCGAATCCTTGATAAATTTTATGCAAGATATAAGTTAGTTGATTTACCGTCGAGTCTTCTTCTTTGAAACCAGAGTTTCTCCAAGTCAGCAGGTTGTTTTCCATGCAGAAGTTGTAGACTCGTTTGTGTATTAACCTTTCCATTATTTTCGCGACGTTTGATAGCAGGGATATTGGACGATAATTTTCTCTTTCGTGTTTGTCCTTTTTCTTATACACTGGTGTGACATAAGCTTCCTTCCACATTTTAGGGAACGTCTCCGTGGTGAGAGATTTATTTAGGAGTTTGGCTATGCTTGGGGAAATTGAGTGTGCGGTTTTCCTCAGGAGTGTATTACTAATTCCGTCTTTTCCATTTGCTTTTGTGGTGTCTAAAATAAGTAATGTGTCTCTAACTTCTTCGACGTTGAATTCAATGTCTCCCATGACGTGTATGGGATCGGGGGGATTTTCTATCCAATCTGGGTCGTATTCTTCCATTCTTGATTGTTCAGCAAAGTAGGAACACAGGAGTTCTGCTTTATTTCTAGGGTCTGAAATCAGTCTGTTGCCAAGTCTGAGCGGTGGGATGGAGGGTTTCTTTTTATCACCATTGTACAGAGATCTCGTAATACGCCAGCGTGATTTGTCCGATTTTGACATATTTTCGATCTGCTGGTTAGTTTTATCTTGGAAGTCCAGTTTTGCTTGCTTGATACTGATAATCGTATCATTCTTTGCTTTTGAGTAGGCCGTGTAGTCTCCTGTGATCTTGGTTCTTTTGAATTTGTTATAGAGCCGTTTTTTATTTCGTATGTTTTTCTTCACTTTACTAGTTATCCATGGTTTATCCTTGTTATTTACTGTGATCGTTTTGAAGGGTATGTATTTCTTGGCTAGTTCTAAGAATTTTCCAGACCAGGCTTTGCAACAATCTTCTATGTCTGGGGTGTTTTCAACTAGTTCTTCTAGATTTGCAGAACTTATCGCCTCATTTAACAAATCGTAGTTTCCTTTGTTGTATAACCAATTATGTCCCTTTTAAAAGACGCTTGCTTTTTCATTGTTGAGAGCACGTGACAGTAGACAAGGGAGTGGTGAGATGTCCCTATTGGATCTTCGGTTCCTTGATCAATAACATTTTCGGGCGAATCGGTGATTATAACATCTAGTTGGTTCTGGGAATTAGGAAGTATGTAGGTCGGTTCGTCTATTATTTGGTCAATACCCATCGCATTTAGCAAGTCAACCAGGGTATGTTTTAGTTCACTATTTTCGTGAGAATCAGACCAGTTTTTGCATCTATCGTTTAAGTCTCCAAGTATGAATATGGATTTTGGATTTTGGTCTTTAATGCGCAGGATTGATTCTTGGAAAGATTCTATGAAGTTTTCACGTGTCACTCTTGTCTGGTTTGGAGGGCGGTAGCACACCCCTATGAACGACGATGCGTGCATGTTGTGCTGAAGTTCGAGCCACATTAATTCAATGTGGTTGTTTTCCAATTCAAAACGTCTTTTGACAGGGAGGCCGTGCTTATAATAGACTCCTACTCCCCCGACGTTAGTTTCTCTTTCTTTGCTACTGAAATCGTAGCCATTGATTTCAATTGAATTTACGTCGTAACCTTGCTTGAGCCAGGTTTCCGTGATGCAGATAAAGTCAAACCCTTTACTAAGACATAACCTTGTTTCGATTTCGTCGATTTTGAAGTTTGCAGGTTCAAATGTGTTAGGGCCCCCTGTTTTTATACTTTGAATATTGATATGGCACAGTTTGATAACGTTGGGCGTTGACATTTTAGAAAAAAAAAAACAATATATGGGGAATATGTCCCCGATACGGGAATTTGTATGAATACGTGTGCGTTTTCCAAATAATCAGCAAAAACAACTTACCTTTCATTTACACGCTAATCGTAAATACGGATCGGATGAGTACGAAAGTGTAATTGGTTAGAATTATGAGAATAGCCAGTTGTCCATGTCTTATCATTCAAATTTAAAAGCAAAACTAGATTAAACTATTTATTGTCTTGTTGATCGGAATTAGTTGTTACTCCCAGTCGGGCGAGGTCTTCAAGATTTTTTATTTCTTTGGGTTTTGCGTCTTTTGTATTTGTAATGACTACGATTTCTCCATTACGTGTGAATGTTCCCTTGATTTTCCCGGCTTTTTTCAAATCCCGCATGCGTTTGAATAACAAGGCTCTTCTTTTGGTCAGGTCTTCGTTGAAGTAAACAATAGGGTCATTTGGATCTCTTTTGAGGCCTTTCAGTTTCGATTTATTACAGAATACTTTTTGTTTCGCAGCTCTACTCGATGTTTTCACCAGGAGCAGGTCATTTCCGATTGGGTAGGCATTTGTAATTTCGGACGAATGCATTTCGACGTCAATCTTGTTTAGGAGTTTGAGTAGAATTTGCTTATTTTCTTCCTCTGATTTCATAGGTTTTAGTCCCCTAACGGTAAACGTGTTCAGCTTGACGTTTTGTTCTAACTGATCGAGAATTGGCATTGTGGGGGTATAGTATGTTTCTTGAAAAGTATCATAAATCATGATTCCTCAAATTCAATCTACTTTCAAAATATTGCCATGGTGACATTGTGGAATAAAATAAAAGAGCAGGGATCACGATTTATGATATGTTCAAGAATAAAAAAAATCAATTCAAAAAAGTTCAAGAATCAGATTGACTAACTTACCAGGGAAATTGAATTTCTGAGCGCTATTTGTTGCTGGTGATGCGGACATGTGTGCTGGGGATGATGCTGTTGCCGATGTTGAGGTTGTGATCGCAAACACCGGAGAAGAGGGGGTGGATGAATTGCATGATGATGTGGTAGAGCCAGAATCTGAAAAATGGTCATTCACCTTGTATTATTTTTATATTGTATGATGTCCATAGTGTAGTTTAGTGTTAAGATAAGTGGACTGATTTTTCTCACTGAAAATCTTAAAAAGGTTATACTAAACAAGACACAAAGTGAACAGAAATGCAATCTTGAACTGGCTTTAATATAGAGTATACAAGTCCCTTTTACATAGAGTATACAAGTCCCTTTTATATAGATATACAAATATATAGTATAATAATTAATACAGAGTATTTAAAAATACAGACCTTGAAAGGCTGGGACTGAAACAGCCTTTGTTATAATAGGAAACCCAGACTCGGAACCTACTCTACGCTGGGGATCAGGAGACTCTGAAAAAGTGACAAGAGTCATAAGATCTATTTTCATGACATGATTCGAGTAGACTAAATGGAAATATTTTTAAGAGGTTAGTTAAAATGTTCTCTTATTTTTATATAGCATGTATACAAAACAAGCGCTACTTAGTGTACTTCAAATACCCGATCAGCTTCAGAGCTGTGTTTAGAACGGGAGATTTGCAATTTCGCGTTGGTGTCAATGGGAATCATTATACTCATTATGTCTATTGAATAGCATGCTGGCTATTTTGATTTCGATGCACAGTATAATGCTTTCTGAAGAAAATTATGTATGTCATACATGTTTTAGCTCCAAATATCTATTACGAAACGAGCTTGTTTAAAATATGTATCATAGAAAACTAGCTATCAATGGCATATTACAATATGATGTGTAGTCTTTGCAACAGACTAAGTAAACATTGTAACTGAATGATTATTTATGTGAGAAAACTACATGCATTTGTTTAGTGCAACTTGTGTGTACAAGTTGACGTTCCAATTTTATATGCATTGCTTTAAGTCTCAATTATTTGAAATGCCATTGAGGCAAGTCCAAGAGGTTTATTCCATATCATCATGTGACCATACATAAACCAATGAGATTTCAGAATACATCTGGGGTGAAATAACTAAGAATATATAAATAAAAATCACATGGCTTACCTCGAAATGTGTTCATGAAATGGTCGATGAACTCGGGTGGTAAGCCACAGGCAGGGGCAGCTTTAGAAGCACAGTCTTTGTGGCATTTATACCTGCATGAAAAAATAATGGACTAATTAAGTTCATAACAGCTATTGGTTATAATGTCATTCTCACAGTTTAAAGGCAAAAATAGGATTTTCCAAAACTACATTCAATTTTGTTAACTGTTTCAATGCTGTATGACAACATAATTCTAGCCAATATACCCCAGTTTCTATAATTTTTTGCTTTCTCTTATGTCAGTTTATAGTTTATAGGTTATCATTTCATAAATTCCCCTTTATCTGATCTCTGGGGTAGTATAAATACTACTCAATTTGTTGCTTAAATATTTCAGAATTGATCAACAATTGCCTTGCTTCAAATATGTATCAAAATCTTGGAATAAAACTATTGAACATTTATCTATTTATTAACTAATTTTACTTGCAACATGCACATAGGATTTCTACTGCTCAAAAATGTTGATTCAACAATGTGTTAAACTTACTTGCAATATTTACATATTTTTCCTATGAGCACATGTTTATTACAAATTTCGCAAGTGCCCATGACAAGCTTCTGTTGAAATCTACAACACATATAAACTTAAAAATAAGCAAACTAAAAAAAATATAACACAAAATAAAAACTGAAAACTCAAATATATTCTGGCTAAAACAGAAATCTGAAATAAATAAAAATAAACATTTAAAGCACAGGCTTATTCTAACACAACTTGCCTTGAATCTTTTAACCCCCATAGCTTTGAATTAGCCCTTATAAAAAATTCAACCTTGAAAGTCCGAATTTAAACCGTTGCACAATCGTTGCACAATCATTGATCCGATCATTTATGCAACCATGCCAACGGTTACGATGCAACCATTACAATTTTGGTTGTAAACTCATTGAAAATGTTTCAATCATATGTAACCATTGTAAACGCTTGACAATTTTGATTGCATTTCTTGCAACCGTTTCAATCAAATGCAACCCTTTAAAACTATGGCAATATTATCTCAATACAACATAAAATAATTATATTGCTCTTTAAAATATATATTTTAAATGTATGTATTTCATGCATACATGTCAGAATCTAAATGGTTTGATCAAAAAGATATTTAAAGTATTGAAATAGTTTAGTAAACTTGTCTTGTGAATGAAAATATATTGAACCAATTTCCATCTAACTTTGAAGGATAGTGATTGTCTCACTCACATGTATATTATCTAGATAACAGCAATATTAAGGCATGGGAAATCCCTTCGCTGCCATGACTATCATTTTTACAAAATCCCTCCCTGCAAGTTATTGCAAAAACATTTGAAATAATTTTGATTATACTTCACCTTGTAATCATCACAATTATAAAGGAAGGAAGATGTGTCTGGAAGGAAGAAATCCTTCAATCAGAAAATAATCTGTTTATTGATTTGATGTTTTCGATTTGAAAATGCAATCAGACATTACGTGTTTTTAAATAATTAAGTCGATAGGCATAACTTAAAAAACTCTGATTACAGTAAGACTCGGTCTCTCTAGTTTGATTAGAGTCTGCTTTGAAGGATGTGTATAAAGAAACTTTATTAATCCATTAATCCATAAACAAAACAAAAATAATTTGGCAAGGCAAAACAAACCTTATACAAACCTTATTCTTGTAACAGAGAGACTCTCAGTTTGGTTAGTCTGCTATAAAGGAAGCATCCTATGTAATTTAATTATTCCATACACAGAACTTGATAAATAATTTGCCAAAGAACAATAACTTAATCCATAAACAAAAAACGAAAATCTCCCTTATTTTCCTCCAGATTTTTTCAAGTTTAGAGTTTTGAAAAATAAGCCCCGTTTTTCTATTTTTCAATTGACACGTATTATTTAAATTGAAAACACCTTTCAGTACAAATGCTCTGCCCTAGTGAATACAATAAAACCATGGACTTTCAATCTATTGAATGCCCATGGTAAAATTAACTAAATAAAAATGAAATACAAAAATTCTGAAAATATTATCTGCAGTTTCATATATTTGCTATTTGAGATTTCTTAGCACTTATTAAAGTAATTGAATAAAGAAATAAACCCTCAAAAATCTGAAAACACTTTTTAAATTTTTAAGCCCCCCCCCCCCCCCTCTGCATGAAATAGAAAATATAAATAAATATATCGTATAACATAAGCTGAAAATAAATATAACAGAAACTAGGACTATGAACCCTATTTCTGGTCAAGCATTTTAATTAGCCATTCAATCGTTTTAATTAGCTGTTCAACCGTTTTAATTAGCTGTTCAACCATTTTAATTGGCTGTTCAAGCATACTGATTTGCCTAAACCCATGAGAATATTAACATGTAGAAGGTATTATTGTATCAAGCATTATTATAAAAAATATTTGCCAAGAAAGAACATGGTAATTAAATCTGAGATAAGGACAGATTTAGCTGATGAACATGCCAATATTGTGTTGAATTTTGCCAATAGTTAACTGAATACTACCAATAGCTTAATGAATACTGTCGATAGTTTAATGAATACTGGCAATAGTTTAATGAATACTGGGAAAAGTTATTGAATACTGCAATATCATAATGAATACTAACAATTAGTTCATTGAATACTGGCAATAATGTAATGAATACTGGCAATAGTATATCGAATACTGACAATATTATAATGAATGTTGGCAATAGTTTATTGAATACTGGCAATAGTTTAATGAATACTGGCAATAGTTTATAGAATACTGCCAATAGTTCATTGAATACTGCCAAAAGTTTAATGAATACTCTCAATAGTTTATTGAATACTTCGAATAGTTTAATGAATACTAACAATGGTTTAATGAATACTAGTACTGGTAATAGTATAATGAACATTGCCAGAAGTGTCACTTTTATGAACACTTATAGTAGTTTTAATTGTGTAAATAATGTAAATGACAGAGAACTAAACTAAATTTAGTAATTTACTATGATAAACATGCATGTATGTTTGCAGAAAAATATCCTAATATACTGTTGTTGAATAGAGGTAGATCCAAATCGTTACTTAAAGATAATTTTTTTAATTCAGGTAAAATGATAATTTTTTGGAACGATACTAATTCAGGATGGTTGCAGGGGTTGAACTATCCAATCATTGAACAAAACATATTGCAACCATTTACATTTCAATGTGAAATGGTTGCAGTTTACAATGGTTGCAGATTACAACGATTGTATAGAAACGGTTGCGCAGTCGTTGAAAAAGAGTTGACATCGCTTGGTTGAACACAATGGTTGCACAATGATTGCTTATCATTGTACAATGGTTTTTCCTTTGATCTTAGTAGTTGAAACAATCAGTATTCAATGATTGATGGAAATGGTTTAAATTCGGACTTTCAAGGTTGAATTTTTTATAAGGGAGGTTTCAATTCAGTCAACCCAAACGCGGATGATTTCTGTTTTTTCAAGAAGGTCTTGCTTTTTAAAGCAAGTGAAGGTCCAAACTGGGGGAGTCAGTTCAAACACAAAACTAGATTTTTGCAAATATTTTTGGAAAATGTATTACATCTATGACAGCAATGGAAGTCATCTAAATGTTCAAATGTGTACAACATTTATATCTATTCCTAAAAATATCATTGAATACTTTTAATTGAATGAAAATCCAACTTTTGGATTTGGAGAAATACAATTCTGAAATTTTGCTAATTGTAATGCTGATTATTCTTTCAATATTCAAAAATGCCCTAGGTCACTGGACTTTCCATTATTTGCCAAATATAGGACACAATTTATGTTCAGTCTATCTACTTTTATATCATCATTTGAAGCAAACTCACTCTGTGATGCTGCATAGATACAAGGCAATGTTGTCAGTAAAGGTTCTCTAGCATTACAACAGGACACCTTTATGTTCCCCGACTCTCTAACACACAAATTGTCAAAACATAACACAAAAAAATGCTCGATACTCTGCACATATAGAGATAAAAACTAAACATGCAGAAATTAAAAAATAACAAGACACCGTTAACGACACCAGCGATGATGTGCCCAAAATAATTTACAGAGCCATGAGACACCGCCGCATTCTTACTTGCACTCTCGACATTTGAATCCCAGAAACATCTGCCTTTTACAAAAATCACAAGTGGTTATCTTAAAAGTGTTTGTAAACCTAAAATAAGAAAATAACATCATTTTATTAATATAATAGAAGTCTTGTTAATACATCCTAACTGAAGTGTTTTCTGGATCCTGTACACCAGGCTGAAATAGAAAAATAAACTATATACATGAAAAGAATGTTGAAAAGTAAATACGTGAAGATGATGAATGCAGATGACACTCAGATTGCAAAATCGGAAAATACAATTCCTGGTGTTACGTTGTGCACCTGTATTTGTCATATGAACACTTTTAATGTTATTTGCGTATTTTAAGGGTCCCTTTATCAAAAATTTTCTAGAAAAATACATGAAATACATAATTTCTTCTTGAAATTAATACTCAGAGTAGTTAGTTTGTTGATCTTTATTACTGGAAAGTTTCAAGTAATTTTATTAAAAACCAACGGTGGGGCATCCAAAACTTTTGGATCACCCCTTGTATAATATCTCTGATTCTACTTTTGAAAATAAGATTAAGGCTTCACCTGTGACTAATGGAGTGCAACATAGATCGATTGCCTACTGGTGTCCGTGGTGATTTTGGAACAAGCAATTCTGAAACAAAACAATATAAGATGAGAAAATTTTCTGATATTGAGGTGAAATCCACAAGAAGTAATCATCTCAAGATCATATAGTGAACTAACCCTGGTATCACTATTATTTTTCTTATATTATTCAACATTACAATTGATGTACAGTGACATTATTCAAATGGTTGCCCAAGTAGCATCTACAAGCGCTTACTGCAACAAGGACATTTATACAAGTCCCTAGCAGTTTGGATAGAATGGGGGAAGAGCTCTGAGCTGGGGTGGGAATACCTTCCCAATAAACCCTGCCACCTTTTGATAGATCAGAGACACTATGATACATTGGCTAGATTGATAATGTCATAGGTTGTTGGTGGCAATCTGTCCAAGCAAAAGTAAGATTAATCTAGGTCTGTTGTCAATTTTGAAAAAATTGTTTATGATTTCTTATTTGAAATAACATCAAAAAATGATAATAAAAACAACTTACTTGTTCCCTGATACATATCATCATTAAGACTGTATTGGTCAGGCTGTTGATATGGTGGGGAGCGAATAGGGGAGGAAGTATTGGGACTGGCACAGCCAGATGGTCCTCTGCTGTTACCACTTTCCCCCTCTGCTGAACGCCTTCGATTTTGAAATAATGTGTCACTACTAAGATTCAGATTGGTTGGTTTCTTCTTATCCATCCTGAAATTGAATAGTTTTGTACAATGGAATAATTATAGAACAACCAATTAGAACCATGTGCATAACTTGTTATGAGACACTATTTTTATCATAATGACTTGAACATAAATGTTCTTTTCTAAAAACAGGTCCATATTGAAAAAGATAATATTAAATCATACTGATTTTTGGAAAATGTCATTTTTACATTTCTACATAATTTCTACAATTCAATTTTGAACCATCTATCTTACCATTATGTAAATCCTTACAGTGTATTGTGTTTAATGTTCAATGTGTCGTACAAAATATCAATTAGACTTACTTTGGAACATCAGTATCAACTACCCTATTGCCTAGTTGCGATTCATGTGACTTGCTTTTCTTCAGTGGATTTGGAGAATACGCTTCTGGAAATAACTGCATTTTTTTCTTCGGGGGTGGCGTGGTTGGGAACTTTTTCGGTCGGACTAGAGGAGGTGTAGGGGGTGGGGTTCCTTTCCGCCTTGAGGGAGAAAAGGGTGTGGGTGAAGCAGGTGTAGAATGTGGTGGCGTTGGATTCGTATCTTGGTTATGTTGAGCATTGAAATAAGTATCAGGGGGAAGTGACGAAGTTGATGGCCGTGTATCACGATGCATCTTGGGAGATGTACCACTATAAGGGCTGCTATTGGTCAGTTTATAAGATGTCCAATGCAGGTCAACGTCATTGTCTCTTATTTTCATATCTTGACTAAGTTGCTTATCTGGAAAAAAGATTTATTTTAACTATTTTGGGTTGTCAAGGTATCAACATTAAGAACAAATATAATTTTTATTTTTTATAATGGTAAGGAGTAATGAAAAGGGTATATAATGATTTAACAAGAGTAAAATACATGGCAGATACATAATTTGATTGCTGCACATTGTGCATTGGACTTACTTTTTCACTTTATAGTTTATTTAAAACTTAAACAACATTATTGTAAAGAAGGAATAGCACATCTAAAACCGTAATTTCATTTTTTTAAATTCAATTTCAATCAAAATTCTACTTAGAGATTTTTAAGCTCTTTGAAATAGCAAAGTTATTCATACTACGTCTTCCTCTAGCCTTCAGGGTAACTACATACCTGTCCAATTTCTGAGATTTTTCAATGCTGATGTGAGTTTTACACATTCATCTTGTTGTACATTGTATGGCTTTAGTAAGTCCATAATGTCCCATGAAGACATCTGAATCATCTCTTCTAGACTATGCCCTTTTTCTGTGACACCCTGGAACATATCAAAATTATATATTTTTATCTGTTCTGTAACACCCTGTAACCTATCAAGATAATATGTTTATATCTGTTCTGTAGCACACTGGAGCATCAAAAAATATTTTATGAATTTCTTAACACCATGAAATATAGTACTATATTATTGCAACACTCTCGAACATACCTCAAATATAAAATCATTTTTACATTAACTTAACCTCCATGTTTTCAAAGTCCAGGTGTGGTTAATTAAATTTTTTAATTGAATTTTTATTAATAATCATTTAATTTATTAATATATCATTTTAATGGAATTCATATTGTCTTACTTAACATTTTAAATTATGTTATCTTATACAAGTACATGTACATAGATTGAGTTGTGGTCATTTTTGGCCCACCCTGTATAAGTCCCAATAAGTAATTGCACATACCAGTATAGAGTTCTGTGGAATGCCCACTATCTTTAACCACTGATCAGTCTTGGGGTACTTGGATAGTTGACTCTCAGAGGTTTTGCTGTTTCTGGCCAGCCGAGCCTTTGCCACCAATTGGTTGCTGAATAACTTGACAAGCTTCGTCTGAAAGTATATGTATGTACTAAATAGTCAGTTTCGATCAAATCACTGTATGGTTCCATTGTGGTACACTTAGTCCCTGGCAGAAGTGGTGAAAATATAATCATCGCACATCCTGCATACAATCTGTCGTGTAACCTGTTTAACTTGAGTAACTAAAATTGCCAGCATTTCAGGCTAGGCTTACTATAGTTTTGAAATTTACCTGTATTACCTGTTTCGTTAAATATTAGTAATTGTAATCATGAAAATGCTTATCATGAGGAGCTACTTTTAAAGACAACAACATGGCTGTAGTGTAGAAATTCAGGTGAGTTTACATTACTCTTGTCAAGATGTCTTAAAAAATTTGAATTTCAAGATATCTTTGAGGAAGTAGATCTGAATGAAAATTAAAGAATCATCAGTTAAGTAATGGCTGAAGGGCTATGAAGTCACAGTTTAAAGCAATGGTGATCCCATTTCCCTTTTTAAGAAAAATTAATTGCATTCGGAATGAGAAGATTATTTTGCTTTGAATTCAGTTTTTCATTCTTCAAAATACATTTAAGAGTTCTAAGCTAAACCTGATGAATCTTAGCAAAACGTTTTGCTATGACCTTAGGGTCCCAAAAAAGTGTAGCTATATTTTTCCATGGGCATTCAAAAGAAAGCCCATGATATTATTTCGGATCACATGTTCAACAACTGTTGTTTGAGTAAATTGCATCCATTTTTAGAATTTCTAGATCAATGTATCCCATTTATAACAGATAAAACAAGATGAATCTTTCACACATCAAGAAACGCATCAGAGTTCCAGGTAATTACAAATTCATCAAATCAACAGGGATTTGACAAATTTTGCAATGTTAAATTTTCGCGATTTGCGAAATTTGCTATAATTGTGAGTTGCACGCAAAAAATACATTGAATTCAGTAGTAAAACTTTTGACTCTAAGATATCTGCAGTGAGTCAGAGGAAATATTTGGAACATGTTCTTACAACTTGCTTCCTTGCAAAAACAATTTCATAAGTGATATATCTGTGTAGACTGAGAATAAATCCAAAAATCAAACCACTGACTAACAGAGCTGTCAAGTGTCACGTGAATGGCGGGATTCCCGCGAATTTGATCAAAATTAGGCAAATTCTTGTGTCCTGCAATGTCCAGCAAAGATATATAAAGAAATATAAGAAGTTACATTTTTTTCGCACTTATGAGGAGTAAAGTTTACCTAATTTGAAAAGTGCTGCCAAACTCATAGTGAACACCATCCATTCAGGCATTCTTCCCTAGAAGACAGATTTACAATAGAGATTATATGGATGGTGTTCACTGTGGCCAAACTGCATCAGATCAGTGAAGATGGCTTTTGGAAAGAGCTCTTGCTTTTGGCGTTTGGAGGAATTACTAATATGACGTGCATGGACCTGGGGCTGGGGACAATTCAATAAATACGTACTAATGTCTCCTTTAAGTGTTAGTCCCAGCCTTATCAAAAAAGTTTAACCATATGTTTCATATATCATTTTTAAATAATATTCTTTATGCGCATTTTAGTGATACTATTTTTTCTAGAATAATTTGATGTACAGTAGAACCTGTATATCTGAACACCTGGCCAATACGAACACCTCCTAATCTGAACACTTTTTTTCGGTCCCATTTTTTCCTCCCATTGACTCCCATGTTAAAAAAACCTTGAAATGTGAACACCTCCCAATTTGAACAGTGAACAGTCATATTTGAAAAATTCATCTTTCTAACCTGAACACTTTTCACAAAATTGCTCAAAAATTGTCATGATATCAAAACTTTGGAAAAAAATCTTGAATGGTTTCACTAATAATGGGGCTTTCCAGCATGATTTGATTCATTTGAATTGAATTTTCAAATTTCTGGAATGCCATAAAGTTATGTGGTCAAAAGAACTATAAATATTTACCGAGAATGTGTTCACATTTCTTCTGAATCCGGAATATTGCGAATGCAAAAACCTTGAAATGTGAACACCTCCTAATCTGAACGCTTTTAGTCGGTCCCAATGGCGTTCAGATTAGACAGGTTTTACTGTAATCTACCATATTTTTAAGGTTAAATATATCACGACATCGCAAAATACAAGGGTCGTTCGAAAAGTCTTGCACGACAGCTTTTCAAGAGAAGAGATTTTATCATTTTTATGTGAAATTTCATACAGATATAGTATTACCCTTCTTACAAGCTTATATGAAATTTCAGGACCATAAGCAATATACTTCCTGAGATACATTGACTTAAAAATTTGAACCAATGGCCCCATGGTACATATGACGTCATTAGATTAAATTGATTTTGTGAATGCCTTTATAGACTGAAATGATTCAGTCAATCTTTGTTCTTTCAGCTGTTAATCAGGTTATATTATAACTAATTTATATTTAATCTAAATATACAGTACTTAACATATAGTCTAGTCCTTTCAGTAATGCATTATACTTGTAGCATTACGTCCAGTCCATAAGCAAATGTCTGAACCATCCTACCTATAGGATATCAAGCCCTCTCATAAGTACAGCTACCCTCAATACATTTCCCTTCACTTATTCCATCTTGGAATACTTAGCAGACCCTATTGGAGTCATCATATGCAATATGTCCTAATCATGAATGAGTATAACTTGTGAAATACTGTTTCCCCATTCTTTATCATGTATTCTATCAATGTTTTTTGCTCCAACTTTATTATTCAAAGCCATATTCTCAAATGTTTCCTGAATGCATGAGAACTTTGATAACGTCACAAAATCAGGTGATTTGTTCAAGATGTTTGAAGAGTATGTTTACGGTCATTCTTTCACGTAATCAAAGAAAACAAGCTGGGGAATACTGAGATAAGATTCACATTTTCCATTGAGAACAATACTAGAAATTGTTTACATTTAAATTGACAGTTTATGAAAGTTAATTTAGCGTGCTTAGTAACATTGATCTTTATGTGTTACTAGTTATCTTTTACAAAATGATATGTACCATAGCGTCATCACCGTGGTTACTATAGCAACCGTAAAATGTTAATTAGTAGGCGTGTATACATGAAACTTTGACAGTGTAAGGGAATAAGATATGGGCACATACATACCAACTATGAACAAGATTGGTCCATTATTTTCACAATTAGACATATTTGTGCAAAACTTTTTGAACAACCCTTGTATGTTGTAAGACGTAATACTTTACCCTTGCACTGTTAGCTTAAATTGGGATAACTTTTGAAATAATGATCAGAACACATTTTGTTCAATTAACCATTTGCATTCATGACATCATAATTGTGTAACAATCACAATTCGAATTTTCTTATATGGAAGCTTTTAAAATTTTCGAAATTGTGTAAGGTTTTGAAGGCGAATGGGATGAGCAAAAAGTTTACCTCATTTTGCATGACCTTCTAACTGAGGTCTGATTTGAATAAAAAATGAATTGCACAATATTGTCCTTGCGTAATTTAAAAAGTAAGCTTTCCAATGGTGTGATGGACACTAGGGATCCCACGATACATTTTGTTTCGATTCGATACGTATCTCGATATTATGAAAACGATTCGATACAAACGATTCAATACACATTCATGTAAATGTCTGTGTTTACATGTGGGGGGGGGGGGGGGGGTTCGAGTCCCCCCACTAAAAAAATTCAAAGTTACTCTTCTGAGCATAGAAAGTTGTGTTGTTATTGATTGTTGGGTTTTAAAGACCTCCACACCTCAGACTTACCTTTTGGGTTGTGTTTATTGCGATGGTGTTCCCCATATTAGGTATATCAGCAAATTTACCACGGACGTCAAGTACATTTCTGGCGAAAGCTGGAGCACTAAATAATCTATGTTCCGGCTTTCGCCAGAAACTTACTTGACGTCCGTGAAATTTACAGGATTTAAAGTTTTAAACCTCGCTGAGGTTTCGCTGTTCATTAAATATTCGAACGTCATGTTTGATTGTCGTTCGCTAAATATATTGCAAATTGAAAAGATACAATAACATCTTAAAACATTAAAATAAAGATTCGTCTAGGGCCCTATCGCATTTATTACGTATTAAGATCATTTATGGAATAATATTTGGTGTGAAAATGCACATAGGGGATCTACAATTACAAATGTTCGCAAAATTATTAAAAATCCATTTATTGTTAAAAAGTTCACGTTCGGTTTGAATCACGAAAATATGTGGCGTGTCATGTTAGCTCTTCAAAATATTTTTAATTTTTCGCGGAGTTTTGCTGTGTCAATTTTGGTTTGATTGAGCTCTTTTACTTACTTAACGGGTGAGTTGGTTTGAAAAACGATTATCGATAATATCGAAAATAGAGGATCCATATCGATTAATCGAATTGGAGGTGATTTCTAGCGATTATATCGGTGCATCGAGCAATCGTGGGATCCCTAATGGACACATAGCTTACTTTCCAAATAACAAACAATGCGTAAACACAAAATGTCACCACTAATGCCATTTGTAAGATTTTGTTCCAGACACCGCAAGCCATTCACTTTTTTGTTAATGACTAGAACAATATGTCGCCACTTTTTGATGTTCATATTTTCCCAGTCTCTCGAAACTTCATCTAAAAGTATTACAAAAGTTATGTGTGTTACACTGAATTTTGTAAGCACTGTCTAAATTATTATTAAAACCTGTATGCGTTACTTACTCTTCCTCAGTGCTTTCATTTTTCATGAAGTTAATGTTAATGTAAACGAGACTAGAGACCTGGGACGAGAGAACGGAAGAAAATCATTACCATGCGTATTGTGGGAAATTGTGTTGACGTTTATTTAAGTAAGTGCATTATATTTGATTAATCAGTATCTGAAAGTTTGATTTGAGTACTTTTACATTTATAAGTCCCAATCACGCAAATCCCTTGAATGTCCAGCAAAATCCCACCAATTGAGGTGAATATCCCGCGAATTTGATCAAAATTTGGCCTATTAGCGCAATCACGCAAATGCCTCTAATGTCCCGCAAAATTAGGTGGATGTCCCACAAAATCCCACGAATTTTGGACACTGGGTCTAAAAAATCTGCCCCGCGAGAAAATCTTTGGGGGTTGACAGTACTGTACTAACATTTAGCTAAGAGCAAGCTGAGCTAAAACTTCCTCAATGCATCCTAGATTTAGAATCTTTGGGTTTTGAATGAGATAGCTGGCAGTCATAGACTATAGCCTGGAGCGTTTCTATATTAATATACTCTATATATCGTTTATAAATACATTACCTCTGCTTGCTGTATCTCCTGTTGAGTTACATTCTGCGTCATGGAACATTGCGTTCTTAGACCTTCTAAATGTTTAGCATTTAAATCGATCATCATTTGAGCAATCTTGCACTCCTTCACAGCCTTCGTTGTGGCATCCTCATCACTTTTAAATGACATTTTAGAGATTTCCTATGAAGATCGCTATCAAAAGTCTTGCTTAATACTCCTTATAAAGAAATCGCAAAGAAATTAGTTGCATAATAATAGAAAAACTAGATGATCTATGAAAATTTTTGACTTTCATTTTGGCAGACATCTTGAATTCTTCCAATCTCGTAAGTCACGTGATACACAATCGAGATTAAAAATTTGCCGCGAAACTTGCAGAAATGGATGTTGAAAAATCAAAACAAAGCTCAAATTTACCATGGTAAAGTATATTTTCTCATTGTCCAACACAATGATAATGATAATTGCTCTTTCAATATTATTGAAAAGCTTCACTTTCAGTACAAAGCCAATCGAATGGTTCAAGTATTTCAAATTTAGAAATTTTGACCACTGCACTTTTTCAATCTGTTTCCTTGCCATTGCTGGCATTGGGCTTGGCCCTGAAGAAATTCATTACAGCCTAATCACCACATGTCTATCTATAAGTATGTGAAAGATCCTTTGACGCCCAAAGTTACATTGTGAAACTCTGTCCGAAACAAGACAACGAAGATAACAATTGATCTACTGTAAAACCCGTGTAATATCGAATGCCCTGAGCTCCTGGACTGGCCAGTGTTCAGATTATAGCAGCTGGTGCTCACATTTCAAGGTTGTGTTAATATGTAAAACAATGGGAGATAACAAATGTTGAGACCCTATCTGTTGCAAGACTAATGCCTGGCGTAACCGTCACCATGTTATTCAGTGTTTTTAAGTAGCGCAAGGACCCTGCCATGACCGTGGTAATGTTATCGTGAAAGCCTGGTATAACCGCGACAATGCTGTATTATATTGCAATGCCTGCCATGACCGTGACAATGTAATATAGTTCTGCAAGGCTTGGCATGACCGTGACAATGTAATATAGTACTGCAAGGCCTGGCATGACCGTGACAATGTAATATACTGTAGTACTGCAAGGCCTGACATGACCATGACAATGTTATATAGTTCTGCAAGGCCTGGCATGACCGTGACAATGTAGTATAGTATTGCAAGTTCAGGTATGAGAGTGGTAATGTAGAAATTTACGATTAGGACTGCTATAACCGTGACAATGTGTATTCCAAAGCCTGGCATGACCGTGGCAATATAATATAGTACAGCAAGGCCTGGCACGGCCGTGACAATGTAATATAGTATTGCAAGGCTTGGTATGGCCGCCATGGCCTTGAATGTGATATAGTATTCCAAGTTCGGGTATGAGAGTGGTAATGTAGAAATTTATGATTGCTATAAGTGACTGTGACAATGTGTATTTCAAAACCTGGCATGACCGTGACAATGTATTATGGGATCGCACAGCCTGGTATGACCGTGACAATGTAATATAGTATTGCAAGGCCAGGTATGAGGGTGGTAATGTAGAAACTTAGGCTTAGTCCTACTATGACCGTTATAATGTATTGCATTCAATGACTAGTAAATATGTATGACATTAATGCCAGGAATATCCTTAACAATTTTAAGTGATCGTCATTACAATTAAACAGTTTAATACTATGATCATGGTGTTTAACTATGTCAAAATCAAAATTACTACTATACATTAATATTCACATTCGCTTATAAACCACAATAAAGGCTACGGTCACGCCAGGCTTCCACAATAACACTTCCAGGGTCATGACAGGCCTTGCAATATAATACAGCATTGTCACGGTTATACCAGCCTGTCACGGTTATACCAGGCTTACACGATAACACTACCACGGTCATGGCAGGATCCTTGCGCCTTGTTGCGTCTTTGAATAATAATCTGAATACTAGATCCCTGTCATCTGAACACTAGCCCTCCATCATCTGAACTCTAGACCCCCATCGATCAACAGAACACTAGACCCCTGTCATCTGAACACTAGACCTCCATCATCTGAACTCTAGACCCCCATCAATCAACAGAACACTAGACCCCTGTCATCAGAACACTAGACCACAATCATCCATTACACTTCTAAGGTCATATGTATACTAGACCCCTGTCATCTGAACACTAGACCTCCATCATCTGAACACTAGACCCCCATCAATCAACAGAACACTAGACCCCTGTCATCAGAACACTAGACCACAATCATCCATTACACTGCTATGGTCATCTGAACTCTAGACCCCCATCGATCAACAGAACACTAGACCCCTGTCATAGGAACACTAGACCTCCATCATCTGAACACTAGACCCCCATCAATCAACAGAACACTAGACTCTTGTCATCAGAACACTAGACCGCAATCATCCATTACACTGCTATGGTCATCTGAACTCTAGACCCCCATCGATCAACAGAACACTAGACCCCTGTCATCGGAACACTAGACCTCCATCATCTGAACACTAGACCCCCATCAATCAACAGAACACTAGACTCTTGTCATCAGAACACTAGACCGCAATCATCCATTACACTGCTATGGTCATCTGTACACAAGACCCCCATCAATCAACAGAACACTAGACCCCTGTCATCAGAACACTAGACCTCCATCATCTGAACACTAGACCCCCATCAATCAACAGAACACTAGACTCTTGTCATCAGAACACTAGACCGCAATCATCCATTACACTGCTATGGTCATCTGAACTCTAGACCCCCATCGATCAACAGAACACTAGACCCCTGTCATCGGAACACTAGACCTCCATCATCTGAACACTAGACCCCCATCAATCAACAGAACACTAGACTATTGTCATCTGAACACAAGACCTCCATCATCTGTACACAAGACCCCCATCGATCAACAGAACACTAGACCCCTGTCATCAGAACACTAGACCGTTATCATCCATTATACTGCTATGGTCATCTGTACACTAGTTCCCCATCATCTGTTTACTGCACCGCTGTCATTTGAACGCTAGACCCTCGTCATCTAAACACTAGATTGCTCTCATATGATGCTCATATGGGTATATAGTTCCATATGAATATATCACATAATTGTATTTATCAAAATGATTTTTTTAAAAATAAAAACAGAAAAAGAAAGAAATTTAAAAGCACATACAGGTATAGCTAAATGTTATTACAGTGTAAATTAATACTTGTCCAATTAATACTTTTTTTAAGTCTGATTAAATTTTCTTTAGAATTTAGATGTCTAAAATTTCAGGTAAATCTTCCATTTAATGCTCCTTTGTCCAAATGTAGATTTAGATTGATTAGATCTTGGTGGGGGCTAAATGCATTTTGGTGCTGCACCACAGTCTAAAAGCAGCAGCTCGGTGTGAGTCCTGCTTTTTTATGCTTTGTTTTGTTCTTGTAGGGTAGAGAAGTACAGGCCCAACACATTAGATGATCTCATATCTCATGCAGATATAGTAAACACAAGTAAGTCTTTTAAAATGTTCAGAAATAGAAGTTCCAGTTTTATCTTGCATCAGAGTCTCTGGTTCTCTGTCTTATGGAGTGACTGAGGGAGAGAATCAAATTAAGGTTCATATGTATTTGTTAAAGTCAATGAGAGGTTTTGCGTTTAGAAATTGTTTAAACATACCATTGGTATCAGCTCATGGACATGTTCATTTTATGTTTATCCATAACAGACAAAAAATTGTCTAATTCTAATTGCTATTACTAAAGTTTTTCTATTTTTTTAAGAAAATAGTGACTGTGCTCTCCCTACATTGAACTTACTGAGGCGCCGCGCCTCCAAACAATTGCAATCAAAGAAATGCGCCTCAGGGTTATTCCTTGCGCCACTGACAAACCCTACACGTTGTTTCTCCGTCTCAAAAGATTTAAAATAACAAAATCTTACCGAATAGTCGAAGTTTTGTTTGTTTTTAAATTTTCACTTACGCAGTGTTTTATCGAACGCACATTCCTTTGCTTCAATTACAGATTTACATGGAAGAAAAGCGAACGTTCGCTATTTTAGTCGACGGGTCGTAAATTCACGTCGTTCGTATATGCAGAACTTTATCGAACGCACATTTATTTGGTTCAATGACAGATTAACATGGAAGAAAATGAATTGTTCGCTATATTTCAAACGACCGAACGCAAATTTGTGCCGTTCGTATTCACTCCACTATTTTTCTCCCAGACTTAAAATACATTTCCCCTTATTTCGATATATTTACTTGATTTTATCAGAAGAAAGTCAGAAGCACACCGCTGGCAAGTTGTCTTGCACAACACAATCGAGTGTAAGTACTTTTTTAAGTGAATCTGTTCGCCCGATTAACTAAAAATGGCCCTGTTGAATTTCAACAAAAAATATGTTTTTTTGCTGAATGGACGAAGCGGCAAATTTAAATTTTAAAAGTTTATTACCAAAAATGTAAACTTAGATTACTTTTTGCATAAATATTTGATAAACAGGCATAATCAGTACGTATACAGGGGTGGCCCAAACAGGGGGGGGGCCCAAACTTTAAAAAAAATTGGGACCCTAAAACCAAAAAGTGGGCCCAAGTTTTGAAAATTTAAGGCCCATTTGCTTCAAAATTTGGCCTAATATATAAAAAACAAGGCTTTAAAAGGCCCACTTTTTGGGCCTTTAGGCCTTTTTGGGCCCAATTTTTTTTCTGGGACCACCCAAGGGACGACCCAAGGGGGGGGGGGCGGGCCCCCAGTGCAAATATTGCACTTTAGGAGTAAAAATTATTAAAATGTTGCACTTTCAGAATAACAAAATCCCAAAATGTTGCAATTTTTTTTACAGAATCCTCCCTACAAAAAAATCCTGGGGAGAGCACTGAGTGACTTTAAAAGTTTGCCATTTTTTTCGCAAAAACATGCCTTGTTCAATTTTTGGAAATGCCAGGAAGTTTCAATACAGGTCAAAAACCCAACCACAAAAGAAGCTATAAAAACTTAAGGGTTAATATACATTGTGTGATGTAATGTTTTATTTAATATTTTGCAGTTACTAAGTTTATGAAAGAAGACAGGCTACCACATTTATTGTTCTATGGACCTCCAGGCACAGGAAAGACTAGCACTATACTTGCAGTAGCAAAACAGATTTACTCACCTAAAGAATTCAACTCTATGGTTCTAGAGGTAAGACCTTAGACTTTTAAACATTTCACCCAAAATAGTTACCCAAAAGATGGGTATTGAACAGTGCCAAAAACAACGCCATCCTTAAAGAGTATCTCAAAAGGAATTCATTTCTGGAGTTGAAAATATCAGCCTTGTAGGTTTTGTGGTAGTAGAGCTGTAGAGGGGGAGGGGTTGCCAAATGTTGTTTTTCGAATGCATCAGATGACTGATATTTGTCTCACTATGTCACCTTCATTGTTGTTTGTTTTTTGGCACTTTTAGCATTATCAATATTTGATTAGACATCCTCTTCAAGTAAAAAGAATTTTTCATGAGTGTTCATTCGAGATGATGCCCTTTTTAGGAGGCATCTTAGTGATAGGATATTACGAAGTTGCATTTTTTCTCTTTCTCGTGAAATCTTGTCTGCAATTGTGTCTGTGTTGTCTTTGTGATTATAAAACATTTACTGATTGAATCTTAGCTATCATAACAGACCCATGGGATATAAAACAGTTAGGACCTGTTCATAATCCAAATCAAAAACATCCAGTTAATTTACAATAAGGATAAACCAATTATCTCCCAGATTCTCACCTTTCTCTTAATCCAAATCAAAAACATCCTGCATTTCAAGTAAAAAGAATTTTTCATGAGTGTTCATTCGAGATGATGCCCTTTTTAGGAGGCATCTTAGTGATAGGATATTACGAAGTTGCATTTTTTCTCTTTCTCGTGAAATCTTGTCTGCAATTGTGTCTGTGTTGTCTTTGTGATTATAAAACATTTACTGATTGAATCTTAGCTATCATAACAGACCCATGGGATATAAAACAGTTAGGACCTGTTCATAATCCAAATCAAAAACATCCAGTTAATTTACAATAAGGATAAACCAATTATCTCCCAGATTCTCACCTTTCTCTTAATCCAAATCAAAAACATCCAGGTAATTTCCAATAATGATAAATCAATTATCTTCTTGATTCACACCTTTCTCTTAATCCAAACCTAAAACATTCAGTTCTTTTCTAATAGGATAAACCAATTAACTCCTGTATTCACACCTTTTCAAATCATGGTCAATGGGAGGAAAAATGGGATCGAAAAAAAGTGTTCAAATTGGAAGGTGTTCGGATCAGCCAGGTGTTCTGATATACAGGTTCTACTGTATGTTTTTCCTGTGCCTCTATTAAATATGTACATTGAACATTGTGTCTTTCAGTTGAATGCATCAGATGACTGATATTTGTCTCACTATGTCAATAATCATCTACATATATGTTTTTCCTGTGCCTCTGTTAAATATGTACGTTGAATATTGTGTCTTTCAGTTGAATGCATCAGATGATCGTGGTATTGGCATCGTGAGGGGCCAGGTGCTCAGCTTTGCTAGTACAAGAACCATGTTCAGGTAAGGGGCCATCTCATTTCTCATTCTAAATAGAGCTTTCCAATTAACCCTGACCCCTTAGTGAACTGAGGAAATAAGGTTATGTTTGCTAGATCTATGATGTCAAAATTTGCAGGCAGTAATGGTAATAAACAAAATTGTACAAACTTTTGAAAATTCTTTTTTGCTCTGAATTGTCAGCATAGCTATTAGTTGGCATGGTTTGCTAGATTAAGTTATTCTAAATGTAGGGGTTTCTTTAGCACTTATGAAGACAATGAAGAAAATGGGGTAAAGTATTATATTTTAAAATGAAAATAGTTAAAAAAACTACCTAAAATATCAAGTAATTTGGTAAAGAAACAGAAAGCACCTTTTGCTTGCCACTAATGAAAACTCTGTAATAGCTTTTGCATTTATTGGGTAGAGCTTTTAGTACACTAAATAGTGAAAGTTATTTAGGGAAGCAATTTTTCATAAAATAAAAAATCATTCTTCCAAAAAGGTTGGTGGTCTCAGAGTGAGGTTGTTCACATATACATTATGGGATTAATAGTGAGTTTAAGCATGCAATGTTTTTCGCAACCTAAAAGTGAATAGAAAATATTCAAGTGATGCATTTGTTTGGGCAATTGGTCATACGTATAGGTTGGCATTTCGATTTTATATGCAAGCTTAAACTCCCTATTATTGATTTGTGGGTTTAAACATGGAAAGCCTTTGATTGGAATGACCTCTAGACCTCATTGGAGATGTATTCAGCATACATGTCTGTTGTCATTGTCAGGTGTTTTGTGCATTTGAACTGAATATACATGTAGTATGTTATGGATGCTACACTAACTCCACAGTTTTGTTGGCATCTGCGAGTTTGGAGGGGAAAAGGGTACCAGGTTTCCCAAAAGAAAATGTGAACAGTAGCAAGTTTAAGCATTCAGTAAATTAGTATTCTATGACAGAATAAATACTAAATACAAAACTCTCATTTTGTGCTTAAAATCAATATTATTTATTTCGATAAATTGAATACTGTACAAAAGTATTTCTCAACAAAAGACAAGGGTAAAAAATATTTGTACACACCCGACCAGTTTTATAGACCCAGCTTGTGAATAGAAATATTAAGATTATATTATTATTTACATCCAACAAATAATATTGTTCAATTCCAACAAGCAGTTCTAGGGAATATCACAAAATGTTTTGAGAAAATTATGACTCAAAATGGAGCAGTTGATAAGACAATTTTTTCTGAATGGACATACAATAGAGAATTATTCCTGTTTTATTTAAAATTCCCAGAGATATAATTTTTTAACTTGTCATCTATCACCACTAAATGATGACAAACTAAATGTAAATTCATATGAGGAATTTCCTGTCATCTTTTTAGAAATTTTTTAAAAATAGTGCTTTTACAAATAACAAACATGAATTAAAATCCTAAAATCACATATTCTTAAATCAGATCCTGTCATTCCCTAATATGACTGTACTGTTTCCTAATATGGCTATGCCAATGTTATCCCCTAATATGGCTATCTGATATCATTGCCTAATATGGTTATTTTGATAGCTTTCAACAATATGGCAGTACTGACACTCTAATATGATTGTAATGATATCAGTCCCTTATATGGCTACAGTGACATCATTCCCTAATATGGCTACAGTGACATCATTCCCAAATATGGCTATACTGATCTCATTCCTCAATGACAGTACTGAAATTATGTTATTCCCTAATATAACTGTACTGATGTCATTCTATTCTATGCAAGAGTGCTTAATAGTCTTTGTCAGATCTAGTCTGGTCTAGGGATATTCCTGGAGAATCCTTTCTTCCCCTCTAGCCAAAAGGTACATATCTTTCCACGTCCCTAGAAATAAACATTTCACACATGAAAATATAATTTGTATAAAAATACAAATGTCAATAGACCTATATGATCCTAAACTTTTTAAATAACTTGTTCTTTCAATAGACAAATACAAGCTTTTTTGGTAGTTGGTGTTTGGCATTCAATGGTTGGTGTTCGGCAGACGATGTTCAGTGTCTGTAACAAATGACAGGTGGTGACATTTTGCATGTTAATGCTTTGTTTGTTAAATGTTGGCATTAAGAGCCCTTTCTTACCTTTATTTCAGTCTCTCCTCTCTCCTTTACCAAATATCCACTATGTTTTGCCAGCATTGCATTGGCCTCTGGGCTCATCTGTATTCTCATCCCAGTACTCGTAGACTCCATTCTAGATGCCATGTTGATAGAGTCCCCAAACAGACAGTATCTTGGCATTGTTGTGCCAACCACACCTATACATTAGCATATTTAATATTATTTAGGGTTACTATATGAGCGAGGCCACGGGAAAAGGGGTCTTATCACATATTTGTTCAATATTCTGATTTTTTTTATCCTAAATTGCACAAAGAGACCTTTCAAATGAGCCATGGCTTATGTCTTAACAGTATTTTCTTGCAGATATAGACCAAAAGATGGATTTGAATTTAGCACATTTTCGTCTTAATCTTGAGCACATTTTTGGCTCTGTAGCACAATTTTAATTTTTGTGATTAGACCGGTTTTCCCATGGCCAGGCTCATATAATGATGCCATGTTGATAGAGTCCCAAACATTGTCATGCCAACCACACTAATACATTTACACATTTAGGGCAAATAAATCAAATAATATCATCATTTTTGTGTTACCTGCAGCACAGGAACCACAATGCATGCCAATCCTCATCTGTAGTTGTCGCCTGGGCTTGTGTCTAATCCTGAAGTTAGCTATACTGGCCAGCATGTCAAGGGACATGTCTGCAATGTTAGCTACATGCTGGATACCATTCCTTGTTGGTAGACCACTCACCACCATGTAGGAGTCACCAATAGTCTCAACCTATAACCATAGATGGTTTAATAGTTGTTATGGGGACATATAAACTGGCAAACATATCTAATATGGACATGTTTGCAAATTGTTAGCATCTAGCTGGATACCATGTAAGAGAGAGATACCAATACTCTCAACTAAAACTGTATATGCACAAGCCTGTTAAGAGTTGTGTCTGTGATTTTACCAAAATCCCTCAGAGGTTGAAAGGTATACAAGAAAGGATGATAGTGCTTTACTGATGATAAAGCCCTTTAATGGAACACCCAGTATTGACTTGACCATGACAGAAACCTGAAGTTCAGAAAATTGTTATTTTGGATGCTCTGAATTTTATGGATGATTTTACACTACATGTACATGAGAGCTATAAATATACATATCTTTTATGAGCTAATAGATGCATACCTTATAGACGTCATACTTAGATATGATGTTGTCAAAGAGAGTGTAAAGATCATTGAGGAGGTTGACAATCTCAATGGGAGAACTGTCAGTGGTCAATGAGGTGAACTCCACAATATCAGAGAAGAAAGCAGTTACTTGATCAAACACTTCTGGTTCAACAACCTTTCCTATCTTAAGGCTATCTGCTATAGGCCTATAATATAAGAGATGCACTCTATTGTTTTCATAGATCACTGAAAAATGGTCAAAGAGTTAGAATGATATCATAGACAAAAGATTTTCAGAATAATCCACATACTTGTATTATGTGGAAATTGTTCATTTTATGTATTCGAAAAATATCTCTAAAACTCCCCAAAATATCTACATTTCCCATGAGCTTTCAAATTATCAACTTGGAACAAATGGATTTCTCCATCAATTTAAAGTAATTTGCAACTTGAAGCTTTATAAGCTAGAAAGAACACTTCAGTGTTTTGCTTTCTTACGCTGGTAACATCCTGTAAAGCAATAGGTCAGTTTTCTTCTTTTCTTCGATCAGTTCATTTGTCCTTTGTTCTATCAACTCCTCCAGATTGTTTGTGTATGTCTCCATCTTTGCAAGCATCTTGTCCATGATGTTGAATTTCCTGAAAGTGCATTAATTGTCCATGATATCAAATCCTTAAAGGAACATTCCTGGCCAACCTTTTCTATCCTGATGTGATAGCTATAAACATATATATGCTTTTCATATTTAGCAAAACATGGGGAAATGTTTTAATATAATCAATATTGATAATTTAAAAATGTAGTGCTCATTTCCAATAAGCTGCCATCTTTTAAGATTTTACTCAGGAAGTGATGTCATCGACTCTCAACTTTCATGACCTTGCATATAACAGTATAGGAATATGGAGTATTACTGGAGATTATATTACAACTGCATCTTACCTTCCATCATTCTGCACATTGAGTTTCTTCTTAATTTGAGTAAAGTCAGGTCTGTAGAAAGGGTTCTCATGCCAGCAGTCCCTCATCAGTTCAATCATATCAGGCTTGGCATCCCTGTCTTCCCTCACCTCAGGTCTAAATGGAGGGTTGTCCCCACGAGCAACTTGTTCAATGATTTCTAAATATAAGAGTTTTTATCACCAATTAAGAGCTCTATCAGTCATAAGAAAAATCCTGTAATATGATATACGATAACACAAAAGGAGACATTGTCTAATCTACAACCGCAAGACCCAAATTGTACCAAAGTCATAACAGAAGAATATTTTCTTGTGGATGCCTACCTTTAGGTGCCACATCTACACTGTGGTATGGGCCAGCTCTATATATAACTTCTTGAACGATAATAGCAAAGCTATAGATATCAGATTTAGGTGTTCCATTGATAGGTGGCACTGGCATCCTTAGTAATTCTGGAGCTGTCCACAGTTTAGCTGCAATATGACTCAGAATTTTGCATATTTGGAAAAGTGGTCATCTTAATTATCTGTTTTATAATTATATACATTGAATAAGTATAAATAAGTTGCATGTTAGAACAATTTCTTTTTGGTAAGAGTTTTAGAATGGTAAATGAGTAACACAAAATACATTGTTAAAGCAGATATGAAATGGTATTTTTAACCGAAAGGAATCAATATAATTTTTTGATAGATGTATTTGGACATGTTTTCTCATCAGTAGTGTGAAAACTATTTCACTCTTACGATCGTTATAGCTGCTTAATAAGCAATATTCGAATTGGTTGTGACGTTATTGGCACCCACGTGATCTCTCACTGGTCCCCATGTGGCCCGTTTTGGTCCATTAGATCATGACGTCATAATGCCAAAATGTTTTGTTATTTGTTTACACAATAATCCTATGGTTGCTGTGACGTTGTGATTACTATGGAACCAATAAACCAAAGCTATATTTTGTATATGACGTTACTAATCACGTGGGGGCCAATTTGATTTATCAGTTAGTTGACCGTTAGTAGTTATGTAACATTTATTTTATAATGGCTATCGCAAGAACTCTACGGTGGGCTTACAATGGAGAAAACCGCATTTTTGTAGCTGTAAGTTGAGAAAAGCTATTTCAGTTGTCCTTTAAGTAATAAATTTGTACATATGTACCATAATATGCTGCATACTCCCCATCAGAATGCTTGCGTTGTTGAGCCAGTTTGAATTGATGTTGGCCATAGTCTGTAACTTTAAGAACCCATCTGCCATCTATCAAACAGTTGCTACTCTTGACATTACCATGTGACAGTAAAGGGCCAGCATGAATGTAGTCCATACCCTATAATACACATTTAGTGCCATGGATGTAAGGAAGGGCTCCCATGAATGTAGTCAATGCCCTTTATATACATTTAATGACATGTGACGGGAAAGGGCTTATTTGCCACGTGGCACGGAAGGGCTGGCGTGAATGTAGTCCATGCATTATAATATATATTCAGTGTGGTGTGGCAAGAACGGGCTCCCATGAATGTAGTCAATGCCCTATATATACATTTAATGACATGTGGCGGGAAAAGGCTGTCGTGAATATAGTCCATACCCTATGATATATATTAACACTTGGCAGGAAAGGGCTGGCGTGAATGTAGCCAGCCCTTTCCAGCAAGTTGATATTTTTTCATCTTCTATAATTGATAAACCCAGAGATTTTCACCTCACTTTTATGGCTGTTCTTTGACTTACGTTTGCCAAATCTGATATAAGAGAACTTTTAAACATCCAATCAAGCTTTATATCATCATTGGACAATACATCCTGAAACAAATGAAGCAATCATTTTTTTAAGACCAACTTTGACAGGGATATTTTGTCAGCTACTTGTGCCATCTTGTAAGGTACTTGGACTCATTTTCTTCTTATATCACTTTTGTCAACCTTTTGAGCCAGTTTGCCTACTTTAGAATCTTACTATGTTTTAAAAGCCATTTGGCCCACATTAAAAGCTACTTGGCCTATTAAGACATCCACTGGGGTATCTTAAAAGTCACTTGCCTGTAGACTCCGTTTATTACAAAATGCTGTCAGGATACAGAATCGTCCAGGTGTAAAGCAAACCCCTATAAAAGCATTCACATTATGGTGGTTCATCTCACGCATCTGAAATATAAATGCAATTCAACATATAAAATGCAAGGCAGGGTTTGGACGCATTTTATGTCACCACCGAGAAGTCGTATTGTTAGAGCTGCCATTTTTTTATGACTGACATTCATCAATTTTTGGTGTACATATAACAAATTGTTTCACCATTTTAACCATTTTAATAGCCTTTTTTTGGTTTCTTGACAGTTTTGAGTCTTACTATCTAAATATATACATGTACATGTAATATGAATTGGACACTTTTCCAATAATCCTGACCCATTTCGCTGAACCATATTATCATACTTTGCAGGCAGTATTATTTGCAAACATCATTATAGCCAATAGAGGGCATTACTAGTTTATGCTATTGGTCAAAGACATTTTGCTTACAATCTTGAGTTCCTTGTGGTCTCTTTTGCCCAGAATCAGTCCCCCTACTTGCATGTACTTGAGGAATACAAGATTTCCCTTGTAAAGGCCTACAATCTTTCCAGTTTTCTCCTTCTTGGTTACACCTTCATCGTCATTACTTGAACTTGTCTGTATTACCATACAACATAATGTTAACATCAATAACATCATATGCAGGGAGGGTAAGGAATTTGTCATGCAGCATTGTTACAAATTTGAGAACAAATTAGATGTCCTCATTTTAATATATTATTCATGTATTCAAGATGAAAGAAGTGCCTAAGAGTGGTCAAAAATCACAATACATACCCCAGCTGTATGTGTACTGTCACCAATAGATGTCACCACACTTTTGTGCCCAGAGCCTGCCATTGTTTTATTGACATGTGTTACCTTGGCGAATGATATGTCATCATAATCAACCTTCCATGACAAGAACTCCAATTGTCCTTCTAGTTTTCGCCTCCTGAGAACAAATAATCTTACGTTTAAGTGCACTTTCCATTAAACCCTGCCACCTTTACTGTCTTACATGATTATAATACAAGTAATATGAGCTATGATATTTCAAAATATATCCATTTTATAGAACCCTTGGGATTGTAATCAGTTTTCTGGGCAGGCAGGTGTGTGGGCGGGTGGATGGGGTCCCACAATTTTGTTTTCATTATGTTGAAGCTAAAACATCACAAATTGTATCTGTTTATGGGAATTGGATTCATTTCTATCAAAACAATTACCAACTCAGGATGGATTATGTCTGAAGGATGATAATGCTTAATACAAGAAATAAATGAATTTGGAATGCGACAGTAAATATACTGGATAAACGTACCTGAACATATAATAGACAGTTGATACCACCCCAACAAGTACAAAGGCCACCATTATACCAATGATGATCCCTATCTCATGACCTGAACAAAACAAGACAAAATGATGGGGATTTATACATGATTGTTAATGTATAGTTTTCTTAAGTAGATTTTCTTTTAGTTTTTCTTCATAATAAAAAATAAAGTACAAATATGTGAAATTAAGTGCTATTACATATGGATATTGAAGAATAAACTGTGATCCCTAAAATACTCCACTTTGAAGTATTTGTCATATTTAGGTCACGTAACATCAATATTTAACCCATCTAAAATATGAAATGAGTAATTACAAGATCATGGCATTTTCCATAAGAATATTCTTACTCGTTAAACCAGATTCCTGGCAAGCTTCTGTGAAGAATCCACAGTCTGGTGTGTCCTGAGGTGGATGGCCATTAGGTGTTCGCCAAAATGCAGGAGTAAACACATGCATTCTCTGTAACCATAGTTACCATAGAGTAAAATATGCATTTTTTGTAGTCATAAGTTGTTCTCAAAAAATTTCAATAAAATTGAGTAATCAATTGGTGAGAAACGTGATACTTTTTTTGGGACACCAGATATATAAAAACATGTGTTCTTTATAATTTTACTGAATAACAGATTAGTTGTGTGACTTGTGAAAAATTCCTTCTCAAGAACCAAGGCCCAAGGCCTAAATATTTGATTTATTTGCAAATTGATAAAGTTGATCATGACCAAGTTGATCCAAAAATCCAGGAGTAAAACAACCTTTTGTTCCCTCGCAAATTATATAACAGGTTACACTGATTTTGAGTAACTTCAAGTTGCCAATGAGTATGTACCTCGCCATCTAGGTTTGTGTTTTTGATCTCTGCAAAATACTCATATTCATCTTTATGTGGAGGCAGTTGCCACACCCAGTAGTCTGACTCCCTCTCCGCCTGGTCGTCCATCACAACACGGCCACTCATGCCTAGAGATCAAAACCATATACCATTATATACAGAATCACAACACACCCATACCTAGAGATCAAAACCATATACCATTATATACAGAATCACAACACACCCATACCTACAGATCAAACCCATATACCATTATATACAGAATCACAACACGGCCACCCATACATAGGGTTTAAAACCATACAGAGTGGATTTTGATTTGCAATAACTTCTGGACATAATAATAATGTCTGGATTTCAAAACTATTTTAGCTCGAGATGACTAATTAATTAAACAAACAATTTTAAAATTGAAAAAGTACATCAATATCTTTTTTGCCCCCCATTTGACCTCAAGGAGTAAAGTTGAGGTAGATAGGGAAAGGAGGTTCCAGAAACTTCTCACAAATCTAAGTTTTAAGAAAAAGTCCAAGAAATCGAAATTCTCATCTAAAACTAAAAGAGCCTTACCATCAAACTATGAGAGCCTTACGATTGAACTATTAGAGCCTTACCATGGAACTATAAGAGCCTTACCATCAAACTATGAGAGCCTTACCATTGCATTATTAGAGCCTTACCATGGAACTATAAGAGCCTTACCATCAAACTGTATCTTTGGCACAACATCCATCATGACCTTTCCTGATAGGTTGTCCAGACCCATCATGTAGGTGTAGTTCAAGGCAAGACAGTACAAGTAGACAGTGTCATACAAAAACAGGGAAAATGTGGAGCCCTATAGGACAATGACAAAGAAAAGCTATCAATTATGTAGTGGGAGCAGATAGCTCCTTTTGTTATGTAGCTCAATAGAGCCTAATTGCTGTCAAAAAGACCAGATCTTGGTGAAGTATTGTTTTTAGTGAGATTTGAGGAGATTCGCATCTAAGCTGAATTAAGGAGCTATTAATTAATATCTATTCTATATGATATTGTGTGAGTTTTGAGATGAACCCAACTTTTTGTGTCATTCTGAGCAATTATTGTTTTGAAATATTAGGTTGCGGAATATTGAATTTCATAGAATTAGGCTTCCGGGCCCATAGCCAGCTTTTGCCAAGGGGGTTTCTCTAATCAAAAAAATTCCAGGAGAAGGTTCACTTTGACAAATCTGGCCTGAAATCACATGAAAAATGCTAAAAAACTGCCTGATTTTAAAAGAATTATTGGCCAGGGCCCAAACCCTTGACCCCCTAGCTTCAGGTCTAGATTATTGAGTGGACCCCTTGACATGCTTGAACAATACATTACCTGATAGTCTACCTCTCCCCAGTTCTGGAAACAAAATTGTACAAACAGATTTAATAATTGATATAAAATTGATTTTCTAATGTTGCCTTATATGCCACACCACAAGTTTGAAGAATAATGACCTTTTTACTTTCATGAAATAAAGACCCTAAAAGGACTAAAAAAGGTTGGACCTGAAATTTTGGGATAGTCATATATGCAGTGCCTGAAGTGTATAGTTTGAATTTGAATTTACCCTTTTGTTAATTTTATATTTTTGGTATAATATACAGGGTTCTCACCAGGAAATCTTTAGACCCCGGATTTTTAGCGGTATTGTATCTACTTTTTTCGCGGTATCGCGACTATTTCTCCCCATGTGAGATCAGAGATATCCTATTTAGCATACTTTTCAACATACTTCTTAAGATTATCTTGCTATTTTAATCCCAATATTTATTTCTAAAAGGTTTCTGGCTTCCTATTCCTTGTTTGTATCCAGTTTTATGTATTTTCTCAAGAGTTTTACGGCAAATAATGTGACAAAAATGTAAAATTAGATTCCGGAAAAACACTCTAGACTCCGGAAAAACTATTAGACTCTGGAGCAAGAGGGTTTTAAGACATTAGACTCCGGAGAATCTCCGGAGTCTAAAAGCCTAGTGAGAACCCTGATATAATAATAGGAATTAATAAAAATGTATGTTTCATTTTTTTTAAAACAGTATTTTGTCATTTAACAAAGAATTATTTATTTACTGTGGAGCCATCTATCTGGGTCCTGTTGAAGTTCCATGGAGGTTCTGCCATTCTGTATGGAATCTCTTTGCGAAATGCATTAGCTCTGTCACTCTTAGCTGTTGCTACAGTAATCTAAATATAAGTGAACAAAGGATTGGTACCGATATAGTGAACTTTCTGAACACACGTTTCTCTTAAACATTTAAACCAGTCATCAAAAAATTCTGAAAATTTTATACATTGTCAATTTATAAAAATATATATACTTTTCTAAGACAGGTTCTACTGTATATGCCATAATTGAATGAATTTTTTGTCTTTACATGTCTATTGTCTATGATAATGTCAGTTGGCCTTCACTGTTCTGAGTAGGTTTGTACAGAACTTACATGTATAAGTGACTGGAAGGCTTCTTTAGCTTCGAAGTCAAATGAATTATTTGCCACCCAGGGTTGTCGAATCTCATCAACAGGAACTAAGAATATATAAGACAATTTAATGATATATAAGATTATGTAATTTTATTAACAATTCTGCAACTGGAGTATGACCATTTATATTTTTCAGCACAAGATCTCATTCAAAATAAGAATATTTTCCCAAATATCATGAAGTATGTTCAAGTCTACCACAAGAATAAGTTTGGAAATGCAAAATTACATCGATATTTTCATTTTACGAGGTTTTTATATAGCACTATACGTGTAGACTGTAATTTCCAGATTTCCGTCAATGTATTCTGGGTACATTACTGGGAATATGTTCTTTGCCTCAAAAACATTTGATACCAAAATTTGCCACTGGACTAAGTTAGTCCATTCGGTGCCGAAACGGAACCGAAATTTTGCACCGAAACGGCGTCGAAAATCAGATTGCATTTTGGGAGTGTAGTGGGATTGATTACCTATATTGAGGGAGCTGACGAACACATACTGCCCATTTGTCATATCTAGCCTCTTTGCCCGTACCATCACTCTACGTATGTCATCTGCCTCAAGGAGAATGATTATAACTGGAACAATACTCAACACTAATAATACTAATTGGAGTTTGAATGAATGGAATGGATAAACTACCTGGTCCTTTTGACTCTATGTTAGGTATGAGCGAAAAAAAATTTGAAATTTGATAACTGACAATTAGGTAGTTGATTTAAAAACAATTAAATTTTACTAAGGGACTGATTTGATAAGGCCAGTTTTACCTTAGTTGGGGTCAAACGCACGATATCTCAGTATCTGGCTGATTGCAATGAGAAAACACATAGACATACATTTTGGAGACTATGTTTTGGAGACTATGTTCATGCAGAAAATTTCATGGGCAGTCAATAGTTTCCTTCTTTCTGATTTTCTAATGATTTTCAATAAGCATGAGATAAATTCTCCAAATGCATAGAAAACAGACTTACTGCGCCCTCTGTGCTGAAATCTCTCCAGTGCGTCATCTATTTCATCATTTGACATTGTTTCAACATCAATTGTATCAGCAAGTGTTACATTGTTCTCCCGAAATTTTTTCTCTACAGATCTATGAATAAATATTGTTTATAATCAGATCATTAAAAATGATTGGTCTTATACAAGTTGTATATTCTTCATTTGATAAAATCAATTACAAATTTTTAAGAATGGTTCTTTGGATGAAAATCTAGGCCTGCTTTTGCACATGCTTGTTTTTAACGATATTGCGATCACTTTGATGGGGCTTTGCTTATGCTGCTACGTATTAGTCTCCTTCTTGTTTCAGAGTTCAAAATATGATTTATTTATATTTTGATTCCAATTTCAAATCTTCCTACCTGGCTGCAAAACTGATCATGCTATAGATCCTAGTAGACAACATGACGCCTCTCTTCCATCCATAATACTTGAATAGCTCCACAAATGCACTTCCCATCTTGTTATACGGTGGCAGCACCCTGACAACAGTGTTGAAGCGTTCCTTATCTGCTAGCATTGGGTCACTGGAGGCGTGCGCAAATAATGGAAGATTCCAAAAGGCTGCAAGGTGGCCAACTGGTATTGCAGCTGGAAACATGAAACATTCATTGATCACTATAATCCATGAAAATAAAACGAGACTCCAAAATGAAGCCAGACTTTTCATATTTTAATGACTTGTTCTTCATTCTAAAGTAACTTAATAAGAAATTGTTCATTGAAATAATTATATTAAATGATCAGGCAGTGACAGTTACCCTCTGAGCAGGCTGGTCCAATGAAGGCATCAACATGTTCATCCATGTACAACTCCACTGCCATCCCAAGCCCATATTTTTCTGTGCACTTTGTGTCTCGATACAGAATCCTAAAAATGTTTGAATATATTTTTCTTGTATTACCGTACATGTTCTGGTTTAAATGGATTAAAAACCAGTATAACAACAAGACTAATCCCAACTTAGATTCTGTAATATGTAGGCTTGCCAACTGTCACACAAAGATACCTTTCCCCAGATACAACTAATTTTTCTGACAAATGTCATAAAAATTAGTCGATCTCACCTTGATGAAAAATGTGGTGTGCCATTAGAAAAATTGAGAAAATTGAACTTGAGAAATTGTTTTGAGGTTGAATGGGTTGATATGGGGAAACTAAAAGCTAAGAAATTGTATTACAACGAACATAATATCATGAATGCTTCAAAAACATTTATGTACCACATCCCTAACTTAAACAAAATGGACAAATCAAAATTGTTAACAAACTTCGAACAACAAAATGTTAGTTTCTGATGTTATATATAAAAGTATATAACTGTATGATTACATTAATAAAAACATCATGTTACATGAATGTGCAGCATCCAGTATCATTACATCAGTAGAACATTTCAATAAAATTGGTACGCAGAACCAGTTAACATAACATAAACTATGAACTGTAGCTTATTTCCTCCTCTTCCACAATAGAATGTGGATATTACCAGTGATCATAATCTTACGTGATGTTATGTGCATCAATCAGGTGATCTTTTCTACATTGGTCCAGAGCCATCGTAGTCGCAGCAGCATTGGTCTCATATCCTAAATAACCTCGTAGACCTACAATAAATGGATTTACACACATATGCTTTTGCTGGCTTACTTTATACTGTGTCCATCAATCAATCCATCATTTCTGCATCTTTCTACCGCCATTGTTGTCGCAGCAGCGTTGGTCTCATATCCTAAATAACCTCGTAGACCTATAAATGGATTTACACACATATGCTTTTGCTGGCTTACTTTATACTGTGACCATCAATCAATCCATCATTTCTGCATCTTTCTACTGCCATTGTTGTAGCAGCAGCGTTGGTCTCATATCCTAAATAACCTCCTAGACCTATAATAAATGGATTTACATACATGCTTTAATTTGCTGGCTTTCTTGAAACTCTCTATCAATCAATTCATCATTTTTGCATCTTTCTACTGCCATTGTTGTCGAAGCAGCATTGGTCTCATATCCTAAATAACCTCGTAGACCTACAATAAATGGATTTACATACATACTTTTGCTGGCTTTCTTGAAACTGTCATCATGATAATTTTTGCATCTTTCCATTGTAGCAGCATTGGTCTCATAGCCAAATTACCACTTAGCTCTAATAAATTGAATGAATTAACATGTTCAGAACAGATCCTCCAAATTAAAACAGCCGCCAAATTAAGTACAAGTAAAGTAAGAACACCTCACAAGTGGAACACTATTTTGAACATTATTGGAGTCTAGATAACTCCACTTACTGTAGATTGGGTTAATTTGGCGCCTGCTTTAATTTGGCGAAATTGAAAAATTCGCCAATATAAATCTTCACCAAAATTTAGAATGAATCCCCGGGAATTATCTAGGGTATTTTGTCCAGTGTATTTAGGTCCCTTCCGGTTTAGTTTTTTCAAAAAATATGAAAAAATGTCTCTCATAAATTGGCTCAGAACTGGTCAGTCACTCATTAATACTCAGGGAAAAACTAGAAAGAAAAACCGCGGTATAGTAGCAGCATCGATTATCAAAATGTAAAGGATGATCTCACAAAAATGTACAAACTTGGTGAATATCGCCAGTTGTCCTCAAAAGAAAAAATGAACATAGCCAAACATGCCCATTAACATATTCGCAAACAGCGAGTTTTTTTGCATATCCGCCAAATCAAATCTCCGCCAATATGCCAAAAATGGCAAAATCACCAAATTAAGTAGCGCCAAATTAACCCAATCTACAGTATACATTTTTACTGTACATGCATATCAGTACCAATGTATGGTACTAATGATCTGTGACTAATAAGTAATGACCTTAGCAGACTTTGACCTTGACTTGTAAGATTGTAAGATTACATGCATGTACATGCAAGAACTCAAGTTAGATGACCAGATCATTCATTTTACTCTTCCTTCCTTCAGTTATTTGTCAATACAAATCTTACCTTCTCTAGGAAGCAGTAGGCCAAGTTTGATATTTATTCCTTCGACATTCTGTGATGTTAGATGATGGTGAATGCTAAACATCAGATGCCATATCATCACTGTTAAGATTAACAAAGAACATCTTCGCTTAAACAACATCTTAATAGTTGGCTGATCGTAGTTTTAGTGTTTTCTAGGTTTACTTGTTATTGTCTCTTATTATTGTCTCTTATACAGTAGTTATTTTTTCTTTCGTATTAACTTTCATTTACTGTTTTAAGTTCATTTCTGCATTAGCAATTTTAGCATTCAATTCATCAAGAGTTGTTTTCCTCCAATATTTGTAATATGAATCATCAGTAAACAAAACTTGTTTCAAATTCAGTTATGTTTCTCTGTGAATTGAGTCTTGACTGTTATCTAGTAAATCGCAATGCCTTGTATTAAATACATTTATAAATTCTATTTTGTAGAATTAATAAGAGAGATTTCAAAGAGAAAATATCCATTATTAGTGACATCACAAAGCAGTGATGCATCAGGAAATTTAATTAATTGGATTGATATTTGATAGTAATTAGGGAATTTTTCCGGTTCTGGTATATATACATTTGAGCTGTTTTAATTGCTACTCTTGAAGGTTTGATGTTTGACTTTCTAAGTTATTAGCCCATGGGGGGCAAATTAACCCAAGGCTAAAGGCTGTTAAATGTTAAGACAATTTTTCTCAGATGATGCTACTTCGTTTCTTTACTCCATCGTAGATCCAATTGTTGAGTGAAAATATGTTTCAAAATTACTCTCTTTCCTGAGATAGAAAAAGTCATTATTTAACCATCACTTATACCTACAGTATATTGTATTAATTTTGTCATCCAGTCCATCATTTGGGAAGATTCACCAAAATCCTTTTTTGGGAAAAGTATTAACATGCGTTCAAAAGCATTCTTAGCAGCATGAAGGGCATAGATATATGCAGTGTCTAAAATATACAATTCCTGGATGGAGTTGAAATGAAAAAGATCATTTTTTTTATTAAATGTGAAGACTTTTAAAGAGCCATCACTTTAACATTTCAATTGGCTTAATTACATCATCATGCCCTCCATAAACATAACTAGAAGATTGCAAGCAATCTTACGGAGGCCCCGTAGGCTTTTTTGAACATTTAAAGGTCAGCCAAAGGTCAAATCTTAAATACAAGGACATATATGAACTCCAGGCATCTTGTAGATGATTTTTAAAAAAAAGTTTGGTCAATTTGAAGCAATGTGAAATTTGACCTTGAAAAATTTCAACATTAGACCTTTTTCAGTTTTTGAGGTCCAAGATCTCAAAACTGGTGCAGAATTTTAATAGATAATCAATTGTTATTATGTGTAAAACCTTTAGAGGAATATATATCCTGACTTTAATTCAAAAATATTGATTTGTAGTCACAAACTTTGAGAAACTTAGAAAACACAGTTTGTGATCTTGTTTGATGACCTTGACCTTTGACCTTACAGGTTTTACTTTTTTAGACCTCAGTATATCTTTTCTGATTGAAGAAACCTAAATTTGAATCCAGAAAATTAATTTGAAAATTTTAACTTTTTTGACCTTTCGAAGGTCACTGAAGGTCAACTAAAGGTCATAGTTCAAAACTAAGGTCAGATTTGAGTTCCTGAGATCTTGTAGATGCTTTTTAAAAAAAAGTTTGGTCAATTTAGAGCAAGTTGAAATTTGACCTTGAAAAGTTTTGAAATTTGACCTTTTTTCAGTTTTTGAGTTCTAATATCTCAAAACTGGAGCAAAATTTTAATAAATAGTCAATTGCTAATATGTGTAGAACCTTTAGAGGAATATATATTCTGACTTTCAGTAAAAAAAATTGATTTGTAGTCTCCAATTTTGAGAAACTTAGAAAACACAGTTTGTGATTTCGTTTGATGACCTTGACCTTTGACCTTGCAAATTTTACTTTTTTAGACCTCAGAAGATCTTTTGTGAATAAATGTACCTAAATTTGAATCCAGAAAATCGATTTGAAAAATCAACTTTTTGACCTTTCGGAGGTCACTGAAGGTCAACCAAAGGTCAAAGGTCAAAAGTAAGGTCAGATTTGGAATCCTGAGAACTTGTAGATGAGTTTCAAAAAAAAATTTGGTCAATTTGAAGCAAGTTGAAAAAAGACCTTTTTTGACCTTTTTTTGACCTTCAATATCTTAAAATCTAGGCAAAATTTCTCTAGACGGCAAAAGGCTAAGACTAATAGAATACTAATATCTATCTGTGTGCAAAAATTCAGCCAAAAATATTTAAGTGTAGTGTCAGGATTTGAGAAACTTGAAAAAAACTTAGATTTGACCTAGATTTTGACCTTTGACCTTGACCTAGATAAAAATTCCTTTCCTGCCAAGTTCAGCCAAGGTCCCTAGTAGGACTATGTAGTACCTAGTTGAAAGGTAGTTGGGAGTAGGAGAAAAAGAGGGAGGAAGAATAAATAATAATAAAGAATAATAATAACTAGACATTTAAAATCGCCACGGGGGCGATTTCGTAGAATGCCGTTCCTCGCCGCAGCAGCAAATTCGGTGCACAATTGACCTTTTTCAAGGTCACGCAGAGGTCGAATTCCAAAACCGAAAGCATATTTGATATCTTATTTTGCCATATTTTTGAAATTTTGGCACTCAATTTAAAAACCCGTACCCTTATCCTCCCAGACGCGCTTTAAAGCGCTGTCGCGTGCCCCCTATATAGATTAGGAAAACAAAGTTCGAGAAAGAATTTTCAAAATGGCTGCAGAATTTCAAAATGCCTGCCAATTTTCATCAAAGAACGTAATCTTTGATAACTCAAATGCTAATTGACGGATATAGCTCACATCTTATATGTTGATGTCTAGGGGACAAACAAGCTCTGCTCAAGAAGGAATTTTCAAGATGGCCATTTACTATCAAAATTTGTTTTGTTCGGTGGGATTTGATACTCCTTGGAGTTGCTGTTTTTCTAGTTTATTCATCAATTAAGAAAGAATAGAAAAACCCTTGGATCAAGGTTGATATTACATAATAGTTGAATGGTAATTAACTTAAAAATAAGCCTTGTGTGGTAATCACAATGTAAAATACACTAAGAAGGCAATAATCAAGGTGAGTACAGTTATTTTTACTGTTTAGACATACCGTGTACAAGAAACATAAGAAAAAATGGCAATGTCCGACCAAAAGAAAGATTGCTTGGCCATTGAAGGCATTTTATGTCATACTAATATTACTAGAGAAAACAGACTATTGATTGAAGAATTGATACATGACATCTATAATAAAACGCAAAAGAAGTTGCTGGAAGCTAATAACAATAATAGAGAAATCGTGAAAAGAATGAATAAAACTCAAGATGAAAATAGGAGATTAAGAATGGAAAATTTGAAATTGAAGAAAGATTTGGAAGTATATGAAGGTAAATAAATATTGGAATTGTAGACTTATATAGGTATATATGAGAATGTGACAGACTTGTGAAATACAAATATTGATTATTAAAGAATTAGATGTAAATGAAAAGATACATAATAAAGAAATAACAAATACAATACATTATTTATTTTCAGGAGCTTTAGATGGGGAGGATGAACAGAAGGAAGGACAAGAAAAGAAAGATAAAAAAGGTAAATAAAATAGATGAAAAATTAGACATTTAAGATTGCAAGTAACCTCAAGGAGGCCTTCTTAGGCATTTTTGACAATTTGAAGGTCAACCAAAAGAGAAATCTTAAAGTTGATGTCAGATATAAACTAATAAGAATTTGTAGATGATTTTTAAAAAAGAATGTATATGTTGACTTTCAATTAAAAATATTGATTTGTAGTCTTGAAATTAGAGAAATTTGTATAGCAATTTTTGGCTTACACAGTGAGCCTATGGGATTGACCAGGCGTCCGAATTTCTAGATGATTTAAAAAAAAAGAATGTATATACTGATATATTGATTTGTAGTCTTGAAATTCGAGAAATTTATATAGCAATTTTTGGGCTTGACCAGGCGTCTGTCCGTCCATCCGTTGGGCCGTTGATCTGTCTGTTCATCCGTCAACATTGGCCACACAAATTAAAACTGCTATTCAGATTGAGTCGTAACCACATTCCTTTTATGCATATATATAATGCCTATTTGACCTATCATCGCCATTTCCCAAGTTTGCCCGGTTTCCGAGAAATTGCTGATTTTGAAGTCAAAAAGTCAAATTTTCTGTAAATATCAGACACTTTGTTGAAGTAGAACTTTCAAATAAGTGGTAGTAGTTGCTGTATGTGCAACATATGTCCTCTGAAGATTTCAAAGATCTGGGAATTACAGTTTTGCTGTTTACTCTACACAATTTGACAAAAAACAGGACTTAGTTATTCTCAGGGAATGTTGCTCAATATATGTCAGCATAAAATTTTTACCGTTTTTGAGATATTTGACGTCAAAAAACAGTAAAAATAAGTTTTTTTCAACTTGCTTCAATTTGACCAAATTGCTTTTTGAAAATCATCTACAAGTTACCAGGAGTTCAAATCTGACCTTAATTTTGAGATTTGACATTTACTTGACTTTATTTGAAAATCTCCCGCAAATTTTTCATTTTAGGTCGGCAAGTCTGAACAATGGATACATCTTTTTGGAACACCCTGTATATAGAAACAAAAACAAAATGACAAATATATAATATAACTTTGTTGAAACACGTACATAATAATTTATATATTTATTCTATGACTTAATTGTAACAGAGAATGAAAAAGAAGAAGAAGAAAAGAAGATGAAAGAAGAAGAAAAGAAGATAGAAGAAGAAAAGAAGAAAGAAGAAAAGAAGATGAAAGAAGAAGAAAAGAAGATAGAAGAAGAAAAGAAGAAAGAAGAGAAAAGTAAGTAGTAATATATTACATTACAATATTTATATAAGTTGAAAAATTATATCACAAGATGGGACCAACTGACTAACTCAACAAGCAAAAACATTGTAAAACCACAAAACCAGTGAGGATTACATCAATTTCATTTAGTTCACCGTAAAGCCACGTGTCTCTTTCCAATGGTATGTTATTTATTCATATATGAACACAGACCACTGAATAATCATTTTTTCACAAAGA